TTTGTTCTAGCATGTGTATATGTGCTCAACAAATCCTGCGTGGTGTGTGTTTTTTAAATAAAGAAGACTTGAGTAGCCAGGTGCTGGTGGCTCACGCCTATAATCCTCAGGAGGCTGAAATCTGAGGACAGCCATTCAAAGTCAACCTGGGCAGGAAAGTCCATGAGACTCTTATCTCCAATTAACCACTAGAAAACTGGAAGTGGCGCTGTGGCTCAAGTGGTAGAGCACTCACCTTGAACTGAAGAGCACAGGGACAGCGCCCAGGCCCAGAGTTCAAGCCCTACAACTGACAAAAATAAACAACCCCAAAACCAGAAGACTTGGGTAGGACCAAAATAGACTCTTTCTTCTTCTCTTTCTTCTGTTCTCCTGCCCTACTAGCCCCATTCCCCTTCAGGGTGACATCTTACCTCTCCCTAGTTCTCTGATGCAGGCTCACCATTGCATTCCATGCCAGCCCACATATCTGCCACAGACGGAAGCTCCCACCATGTTTGTTTCTAAGTCCTCATTTCAACCCACAAAGTCCATCTTCTTCTACCTTTTCCCTTCTCAGAGCCTAGAGTGTTTTATGACCGGCCTCCCCACACTGGGAGTATTACTCAGTTTTCCACATGTGAATACTGGACCCGAGGGCCCAAGGGCCCTATGTGGCCAACGTTTCCATAAATTGACTTCTGCTTCCCTAGGAGCCAGAAGAACCGAGTAGCAGACAGAGCTGAGTCACACACACTGGGGAGCCAAGCACATTCGATTTACTAGGTAATATCCGCAGGAAGAAGAACAGCACATACATACAGAAATCCACGGGCAGAAACACCACCCCGAAACACAGTCAGACACCAAAGCATCAGAAGGGCTCAGGAAGTGGCTTTGGAAAGTTCTCGTGAAAATCAAAGGGCAGCTTTGGTGCTCAGAGATTCAAACAGAAAACTATACAAAACCAACCCATAAATATATATTATATATGTGTATAGATATATATATATAAAATTGCAAAATAAAAGCCCAAGAGACTAACCATCCATCTGCACATCAATGGCTCAAAAAGTGTTAGCGTCGAGAAAGGCAGAACTGTTTGTGGAAACAATGCATGATCTGGGGAGCTGGCATTTCAATAGCAGAAAGAGTATTTACATGGAACCCCTATTTGAAACCTCACAATACTGGGAAGAACTAAACACAGACAATGTATGTACAAGGGAAGACAGGAAGTAGTACTCTCATGTGACGATTGTCAGACACAGACATTTCACTGAAACCACCCACTGAACACTCCCTAGCTAGACTGGTTCCTGTGGCCCTGCCCCCCAACAGACCATCCCAGGCTCTGAACTGCTGTGTCCCCCACCCCCACCCCCTTGCCCCTTCCCAGGAGAGAGTGAATATTGGCAATCAACACTTGTAGCAAACTGCAGTAATTTAAAGGTGGTCACTATTGCCTTATCAAAGAATCACTCATAAAGCAGGACCAATAGGCATGAGGTGGAGTTAACACGAGGGGATGGGGCTCCCTCAAATGCATTCCCATTGTACATGTAGTCTCTCCATCCTTGATCCAACTGTTCGCTTCTGAGTCACATTACAAGGGAAAAGCTGGCCTTCAAGCTTGTACGAGTTATGCAAAATTATTTTCTAGAGGGGAAATGAGTTTAGGGTCTTCCTATAGTTCATCTCTTCTCACCTCCTAAACTCTAGTAATAACTACACTTCTTAGAATGAAGGGAAGTGTGCTGTAACGGTCAGCCTCATTCTGTGCTTGAGAAAATTAGGAATGGAGCCGTGGACCTAAAAAGACTACAGTACCTTCTCACACCAAGACTAACTCCAGCTTTGTCCCCAAACCCTGCCTGCATCAGACAGGATCATCCTCCTCCATCTCCAGGCCCTGAAGTCTCAGTGATTGTCCATCTTTGGAAAAAATCTTGAAGGCAAGTGGCACCAATCATCAATTTGGCAAAACTTTCTACCACCTAAGTATGCAAGACATATTTCCAATTGGAGATTCTTCCTAATGGTTTCTACGAGAGGCCTACCTATCCTGGAAACTGTCAACATATAAAGGTAAAAGGTGCTTTCTCATCTGAAGGATGCTCAGCCTAAAATCCTCACACTGCCTGCTGGGTGAGTGTGCTCCCAGGAGGCACGAGACATAGCTGTGCCTTGGAGACAGAGCGCTATGTGTGGTCTCTCATTTCCCACAAAATGTGTGCTTCATCGAAGTAGGTTGGTTAGACAAGGCTTTGGGAAATGATAACACTAATAGGTATGATTTTCCACATTGAGGCACAAGTCGGAGTGTGTACAGATAACTAGTGAGCTTACTTTATGACTGTAAAGTCACTGCAGGCCTCTTCTTTTTTGTATGAATTCATTCACCCTTAGGTTCTCACGGTAAGGACAGGCATGATGATGTCCTGTTGGGTTTTAACTTTTGGGGTGATCTGTCCTTACTGTGGCTCCTCTCTCTCATTTCATCTCGTTCATTGAACTTAAGTCTTGGAAATTCAGTGAGAAAGTTCAATGAGAAATGTATAAACACTGGTTTCTCTATGCTGAGTCATCTGTGACTCTGCTACCCAACCAAGGCATTTGTAGACCCACACATGTGCATGAATAAGGGCTCTCTTCTCAGCTGTCCAGCAATCAAGAATTGATTACTCTAGGCCTAGAACTAGGACAATTTTAACCTGAAACAGAAGAGCTGGCACACTGACCTACAGTGGGCTATGTATTCTCTGCTTATGCATACCTTTCCAGAAAAATCCAAACTTAAAACTTTGGGGAGCAACTCATGCCATTGAGTGGATGATTCCTTCAAATCCACAGCAATCAAGAAGTGGATTTATAGCATTTCTGTGCATGCTGACAAGAGCAGAAGCCCTCGGTTACTGCATCTGGGAAGTCATCTTGCCACATCACTGTCCCATAGGGGCCAGGATTTCAAGGCTTAGTCTTTATGAGGTGGAGGCGGAGGGAAAGGAAATCGCTTTACCAAGAGGTTCTTTCTGTGAGAACCTAGTGCTACTCATCCAAATCCTCTGCATCCTTTAAAAGAACATTGCTGTCCACAAAGGCTACCTCTCATTTTATTTGCAAGCATGTTGGTGGGGTCATTTTTATGTGTGTAATCCAGATGAAGTAGGAGAATTACTTGGGTTAACTGCAGACCAGATGGACGTCAGTCTGTCAGGATTGGGGTGGAGGGTTTCCCTTGACAGTGCTTTTTATAATCTGGGGAAGGCCACATGGTTGGTTCCCAACATTACACCTGGACACCAGCTACCTGTGCTTGAAGAGCCATCAGAGCCAAGCTTGTCTCTGTAACCGTTTACTTTCTTCTCCACTCTACTCCTGCCCACTTTCCCACAGAAATGGTTCAGAACCCTCTCTGTTCCCAGATCAGGCAAACACACTACAGGATTTTCTTATTCTTCCCTGTGGCAAAACCAAGCACCATGGCTCAACTAGACATGAACCTTTGTTTATACATTCTGAGCTCACAGATTATTTTTTCCAGTTTGATACCAACCTTTCTGCTAAATTTTATGGAAAGCCAAAAAATTACCTTTCCTTCATACTAATAGTCTGGGAGTCCTGCTGCTTTGGGGAAGGGAGGGATTGCATTTTGTTTCTATGGCACCAGGCATGTATCCTCTAGCCCGGTGCTAAGTGCATCACATCCTTCATGTCCAAGGGAAGAAGAAATATGGCAGAATAACTCAACACCTTTCCCAGCAATGCTACACCTAGACAAACTGCATACTAAACTGGAACTTATTATTTGAATATTTCCTTCTCCTTGCTCTCATCAAAAATCTCAAGCCATTTTATCAAAAAATGTTGTGGCAAGGAATTCTAGGATGGAAACTCTATTTGTCATAGAGGATAAATGCAGCATGAGGCAGGCCATCAAGCATGTCAGTGTTTGACATTTCCGAAAATTCTCATCTTATTTCACACATTTCCCCTTATTTCCAGCCCCATCTCCCTTCAGTCACCAAAGAGATTCTTCCACAAGGCCAGTCCTCCATGGCTCCTGAGTCCTTACATGATAAAACCCAACTCCTCCATGCTTTCAATAAATTTCCCTACCAGCCAGTCCTGTGTCTAGGAAGCAAATGCCCCCTGCTGAACACTGTGTCATGGAACATGCCAGAGAGTTGCCACTCCCTTGCCGTGTGCACGATCTTCTCCCAGCATGGAATACCCTTCTGATGCTCACTCTTTTTCTTCTGCAAAGTTTCTCTGTTTTGAAAACCTCACTCAGTCACGGCTCTTTCAGGAAGATTTCTCTGGCCCCTATAGTAGTCAGTCATTACTTTCTTACATTTCCTTTGTTCCTTTCCTGTTTTATAATTTGTCTACATGCCTCCTATGAATCTCTTGAGGACAGGAGCTGTGTCCTATCCTTATGGCTGTCCCAAAACCCAAGATCAATGCTTACTTTCTGAATATGTGAGGAATGAACACACTGGTAAGTTATGAGGTGGACCCATGGCATGAATTCCAAGGATGATGTTCTAGCAAGGCTCCAACATTTTCACTTAAGTGAGGGAGGCCTCGCTGCCATGAAGGGACTAAGAATTTGTTGAATCGAGGACATCTCTGAGCAACAACCACTCACACACACACACAACAAAACATGTACCAAGGTCATGCGTGTCCACACCTCCTTTCTTTCAACATTCTTTGCCACTTAGGATCCCAGTTACAATGATTGATTTTTTTCAATGTCAGCAGAATGACTGATGCAAAGTGGATGCTTAACAAATATTATGAAGGAATGAATGTAAAATCTACTTTTTTAAAGAAGGCATCAAAGGATTGGCTTTTTTTTTTTTTTGCTGGTTGTGGGGCCTGAACTCTGGGCCTGGGCGCTGTCCCTCAGCTCTTCAGCTCAAGGCTAGCACTCTACCACTTGAACCACAGTGCCACTTCCGGCCTTTTCTGCTTATGTGGTGCTGAGGAATCGAACCCAGGGCCTCATGCATACAAGGCAAACACTTGTATGCCCAGTAGAGACCAGTCACAGAAATGGCTCAGGGACTAAAACAATCACCCTTAAAACTGTCCATCTACCATAGCTGTTAAGAGCAAGAACTCAGGGCTCAGAACCTGGGTTCAAATCTAGACTCCCGCTCTCTCTGAGCAAGTCAATGATTTTTGGGGTTAGGGGGTGAGTTCAGCTTCCTCATCAAAAAACAGGAATAACTTTACCCATCTCACAGGATTATGATGGGGGTTTGTAGGTATATGTGCAGTGTCTACAGATAGTTCTTAGAATGGAAAACTATGATGAAGAGCTTTCAAAAACATTTTAACAATAATTAGGATAAAAAGGAGATATATTCTTTGAAGACACTGTCTTTCAAGAGAATGGATTGTCTTGGAGCCAGAAATGTTCATTAATCAGTGCCCCAATGGAAGAAGATGGAGAAATAGTATGCCCAGGCCCCAGGATGGACAAAGTGACAGAGCTGAGGACACCCAACTATTTCTCTGAGAGCTGATTCACGAGGGTTAATCCTGAACACATTTCTGATTCTCCCTCTGCTGAACCCAAGTGACTCAGAGTTGGAATCCTAAAGAAGCCAAGCTCAAGATGCCAAGATTAAGATGCTAGTTCTGGTCAGAGGGCAAGTGCTCCTGGGTTCAAAGGTAGGGTTGTAGGGGAGGCGATTGACCATAGAATGGATGTAGGCATACTGCTCCATATAGCATGCAAAGCTAGACAGACAGAGCATTTCCAATGCTACTTGCATCTTTGTATGATTCAATGCCAATGGGTTTAAACATTCCAAAATTTCTGCCCTGAGCATGTGACAACTTTTTCTTATACTAATTTAGTATTTGTTTTGGAGTATTTGAGATGCACAATCCAAACAGGGCAAGTTGCTGGCCTCTTACATCAATTAAAGAATCCCCAATCGCCAGTCTTACTTGGCTTGCCCTTATGTCTGTCAACTCTTACAAGTTCTTCCACCCATCATTCAAGAGGTTCCATGAAGAAAGCTTGGGGTTAGTGTCTGGGGAAGTATAAGCTAAGCCATCAGCCTTGGGATCAAAGGGTAACTTCTTCTATGGGAGGGGATGGGTCAATTTGTCTAATTACTTGGAGCAGCAGGGCAGGGTTCCCAAATGGAAAAAGAGTAGAAAGGCTTCTTAATGTGAAGACAGCTCCATATGAGATGGGTTTCCTGGGAAGAAACAGACCTTACCCCTGGGAAAGCCTTGACCATCTGATTCCATCTGGGCCTGTGAGAGTTCACAGCCCATTCCTGGCCTTCCTGCCCTGGGCTCAGATTGAGGGCAACACCCTAACAAAGGTGGCCCATGACTAGGCAGTGTTGTACAGTAGAAAGAGCACTGAACTGGGAGTCAGGGGGCCAGAACTCTAGTGCAGGCTTACTGCAGGCTCTGCCACTAACCAGCTGAATGACCTTGTATAAGTCACCTGATTTCCCTGGGGTAACGGTAAGATGAGGGGTTGGTGTGGTGATCTTTAAGGTCCCCCTCTGAGTATAATCCTGGGTCCTATTCTATCCCTCCTTGGCCCTGTGCTTCAGGGACAGAGTTGGGAAAAGGAAAGGGGAGGCGGGAGAGGAGGCACAGGGGAGTCACGGTGCCACCCATCAGGACTCCACTTTCTCCTTCTTTTTGCTCTTTTTCAGGAAGGAGGGGGTTCGGAATTTCTTTTTCTTCTTTGAGGGAGACTTGGAAGGCGAGCCCTCTGGGGACATGGGACCGCTGGTGACCGACTCGGTTTTGTCCTTGGAGGTATCCACATCCGTGTCGGCGTTGGTGGTCATCTGGCTGAGGCCTTTGCTGAGGATCTCCTCTGCGGTCTGCTCTTCCTCCCTCCCGTTTACCACCACCCCTTCTGGCTGGGCTGTTTCAGGTTCTGTAGTAGCTTTGCTTGTTTCTATCGGTTTGGCATCTTCTAGAAAAAGAAAAAAAGATATGACTTGTAAGGTTTTATTCAGGTGAGAGTGTCCACTTGGGATCAATGAAACCACTTGTAGGCAATTTTGTTTGCTAAGTCTAGAATTATGGGTGGGGCAGTTATGGGTTGAGAGCAGGGTTCTCAGGCAGATGGAAGACAGGGTTCTCATCCAAACCTGTGCTCCTTCTACATGGCCAGCCCTGGGGGACATGGTGTGGGCAAGGCAGTAACTGTGCTCCTATCTACACACTTAGAAATGTCCGAAGATGTCAGGGGCCCAGCCGAGACTCAGTTCAGAGTAACTCTAGGGGAAGAGAGAGGCCGTTGGAAGGGGAGAGCATGTCATATCCACCTTGATGGATGCATCTGAGAATCATAAGCAGCCCAGTTCCACAGGTGAAACTGGTGTAGGAATGAAATGGGTTTCATTCCTACACCAGTGAGGAATCTAGGAAATTTCAGAGTATCTTACGACGAGGCATGAAGGTGAAGGCAGAGGGAGGATGAAATACCCTGGTCAGTATGGACTTCACATTTCATGATATAGATGTTGGCAAAAGGGGCTTGGACCATTTTAGTGCCACCAGGTCCCAGGTCTTATTTTGCCTGGAGATTGTCAAGTACCGTGTTCAAAGGCAGAGCTGCTTAAACTCCAAAAAGGAAATCTTCCACCCACCCTCCACCCACCCTGTGTCCATGCAAACTCGGAAATGCATGAGAGCAGAGGGAGGAGGAAGAATTGTGAAGCCTCAGACTTCGAACAGTAGAAAGCAATGTGAAGCTCATCTGGCTCCTTCCTGCCCATCTCCTGGCTAAAATCAGAGCACACCTGTCCAGTGGTTGCCAGTGTCATGACTTCCTGTCCAGTGTCCTCATCCCAAGAGCTGAAAGGTGTTTCAATATATGATGTCTGAGAATGTGTTGTGAAAAGCATTTCAGTATATGATATTGAGAACATGTTGTGTGTGTGTATATGTTTGTTAGAGAGAGTGTGGGGCATGTACTGTGAGTGTGCTGTGTTACCAGGGCACACAAATGACCCCCATCTGCTCCACTACATGGGAACATGGGCAACAGGGGAAGATGTAAGATAGTCTATTCCATTTCGACCTGCCAACCCCAAAGGCTGGCTCTAGCCACACTTTGTGCATCTCCTCCTGATGTTCGACCATTTTTAATACATCTTCAGGTAATTATAATATAAAAGGCTTATTGGCTACACACTGAGAGATGTGGTTTAAGAATGACATCTTTTCCTACATTTACCTCCCTGTAACTCCCACTCACTCACTACTGTTGAGTAAATTTGACAACACAGTTAAGCACCAAATGGTATAGCTGATATGCAAATATGGCCTCATGCATAGCGCCCTTAGATCTTCACATGCTTGTGTGGTCTCCTCCCATACTGAATCAGGCTGGCCCAGAGGTTCACTAGAACCACTAGAATACAGACAAAGTACTTACAGCCAACTTTGGGTCAAAGACTAAAAGTTCCTAGAAACATCTGCTTTGATCGTTTTGGAAGAGTTTGGCTACCATATAAAGTGTCTGACTGCCATAATAAAAACAGGTGTAAGGCCACACCACATGTAGAGAGAAGGAAGAAAATTGTAGGAGAGGAGAGAAGAGGAATGGTAAAGGGTGTGAAGGGTGTGGGAGAGCACACCAAGAGCCTTCTGGCTGCTGCTGGCCAGGTGCTAGACATGTGAATGTGCTATCTTGGAAGTTCTGGCCAAGTGAAACTCCCAGTCAACTTCAGCCCCCGCCCACATCACAGGGAGAGAGGAACCATCTAACTAAGCCTAGTCAGCTCTAGTAAATCCACAAAAGAACTAACTTCTACAAAACTCATTCCTACAAAACTCATATTATGAGTTAATAATTATGCAGTATTACATAACAAACCACCCCCAAATTAAAACATCAAGTAACATATGAGTTCTCGCAATGCAAACACAATAGTACATAATAACTAATTGATGTAAGCACATTGCAGAGTGTTTTTCTATTCTTTAGCTCATTTCATGAAGAGAATGATCAGTAAGCTATGGAAAGCAAACATCCATGTGATTCTCCTGTTTCTTTCACTTATTTGAGATAGCTAAATTATTTAGTGGCAGAGCTGATTGGCTGATGTCAAATACAGGGACATTTCCTGACAGGTTCAGCCCTCGGACTTCACTGGGGGTTGGACTCAGAAGGGGCAGAAGCAGTCAGGGGACAGTCACAGAGATGGAGTTAACACAGTAGCCAGATGTAAAATGAAGAGGAATGTAGGAATCTCCCTTAGAGAAGGTGATAGAATAGGAGCCAGGACAAATGAGGAACGACATTAAGGTGGCTTCATCTTAAGTTTTCACAAGTTACTGAATTGCTTTTTTAAAAAGCCACCCCCTGATCAGATGGGTAAGCTCTTTATGAGATATTGCTCACAAGTGGATCAGCCCTATCTGCCTGGGGAACTGGCCAAGGTCATCCAGCCTCACCCCACACATCACTCCACACCACTGCAGCCCTTGCCCTCACCATCTGGGGTCAGCTTCATTGTAGCTAGGCTCCCCAACTCTGTCTATGGCATGAGAAGATCCTCAGAGAAGACTATAACTTTTGTTATTCTAACATCTCAAGATGTTATTCTAACATTTCAGTTGCCTGGACTAGAGCAGATTCCTGTTAGAGTGCGTTTTTTAGGTGATGGGTGAGCAGTTGATCTACCTATACACACTCTGCTCCTTTCTTCCTCCTAGAAGCTGACGACAAGTCACCACCCTTTATCCTATTCCTCTCATCAACCTCCTCTCTATCTCTGTGTTTCATTTCTACAGTTGGTACACAAACCCTAAAGACAAATGCTGAAGTTCCTAGGCAGGCCAGGACCCCTGCTCATCCCAAGGAGGAAGCTGGCATCCAAGGGTGATGGCTGTGGTCCATGGCCCTAGAAGAGGCTATGGGTTCCTTAAAGGTATCTGTGCATTATGAGTAGAGACAGAGGTGAGTTCTATCACAGAGGGTTGCTTCTGGATGTGTGTGCTGGTTGTGTTTGTTCATCTATGTGTTATCCAAGTCTCTAACATCAAAGCCTAGTCCATGCATGATGCAGGTGGAACTGGTCATGAATTTTATATCCAGGAAACCTCCTGAAGGCAGAGTTGTGAGTAGTAAAAAAAAAAAAAAAAGGGGGAAACTATATTTCTTTTGAAAACTCCTCCCTCCCCCGTTGCACATGTTGGAGTGCATTAGTAAGCAGCCTCTCTATACTTACTACAGAGACAAGTATTCAGAATCGGAGGAAACTCCTTTGATGAAGGCACAAATGGGAAAAGAAAGGAAGACGTTGTGGAGACAGGTAGACAACACAACATCACAATGAGACACAGTGAACACACACAGTTGTAGACATCCACTTGGGGCTCTGGCCTCAAGCAGATAGGTTTCCTCTGGCAATGCGGGGCTGGTACTCTGAGCAGTGGTTGGTAGGGTGGGAGGTCAGGGGTGGAGAGTCTCTGCGTTAAACATCTGGTCATTTCACCCAGGAGGGAGAAAGTTTCAGCAAGCCAAGCAACTTGCTGCTGTCTAGATGGAAATACAGCCCTCTCTGATGGGGTACCTGTGGGATGAGGGGAAGCAGTCTTCTAGTTCAGGAGAGAGTCTAGGAGCCCATTGCATGCACTTTTATGATTTAGTGGGCAGAGACACAACAGCATCATTGTCCCACTATATGTAGAACCATAACTGTCATTAGATCATACAATTAAGTTATGCTTTTACTCTTTCAAAATATGCTTTCACCAACATTTCCCTTACACATATGAGAACCTTTAGGAGGAAAATATTAGTAGCCCCTTTTGATGGACAAGGAAAATGAGGCCCAGAAACTGTATCTGATTTGCTGAAATTAGCAGTTCAGTTGGGCCTTGAATTTCTCTCTCTATACTAGTGTCTCTAATGAAGCTTTCCCAACCTGGCATGCACTTAGATATCCCCAGAGAGATTTTACAACTCCAAGCTGTACTCTGTTCCCACACTCTCCCTAGATGACTTAGCTCAGAAACAGGACCATAACACCTTCCCTGTGTGGTTCCAATGTGTAGGTGACGTTAAGAAAGACACTATCCACCTCATCCGGGGAAATTCAGGGTCTCAGGTCCCATCCCAGACCTAATGGGTCAGGACCTTCATTTTAATAAGATCCTCAGGTAGCCTCTATGCAGGTAACAGTCTGCGAACCAGGCTAGCACATCTGGAAAGGGCTATCAGCCAGTGTGTCTTAACTGGAGATAAGAAGGGTACTGGGCAATCATTGGCTCATTCATCATTGCTTGGCAGGGGTTACGCTGTAAGGTGTACTGTTATAGCTTTACGTGGAACAAGTTGCAAACTTGTTCTGATCCCACAGAAGTAGCAGGGGAGAAAGCTTTTTTGAGGGCACAGGTAATACCTATTGAAAGGCAGGTACCTGCCATGTGCAGTCTGCAGTGTGCAGACCTCCTCTGCTTCCTTGTAGGTACCTTTCCCAGAAGGATGCTCTTCCCTCCCTCCCACATGCTTAGCTCCACTCACCCTCTACAGATTTGGTAGGAGAAATTGCAGGGCTCTTCGTCTCTGCCTTTGTTGGACTCTGCACTGGAGAAGCAGGTGTAGATTTTACAGGTGAGCCAGCCTCTTCTGTGGCAGTATCCTTCTCTCCTAAAAATGTAGAAAATCACTTTAGCATGGGGTGGAAGGGGGAGGAGGCAAGAGGGAGGGAATAAAAATGATATTTTTTCTATTTGGTCATTTCTCTCAGCTGAAGTTAGCTGTGTCTCCTAAGCTTTTAAAACTTCCTCAAGGAAAACTAGAACAGAAAGAGGCGAGGGTGATAGCACATTTCCCAATGAACTATGTCACCCTGATCTGGAGGGAAAGATGACAGGAAACATCCATCTGAACAGAGCCTGGCTACTCTATGTCTACCTCTAAAGAGGATGCACCAGACAAACACCTTCAGCCGAAGAGAGCAGAGCCCCAAACAGTCACAGACTTCCCTTAAAAATGTTCATGCTTTGTTTTCGTGGGACTTAGAAGTTAACTTAGCTAATTTGTACTTTCTACTCAAATAATCTCTGGCAATTAAAAAGCCATAGTTTTAAAAAATATGTTTGCAGTTTGCACACTTGAATTCCAAGCCAGGAAGTGTTTTGTGTTGTGCCTAGATGACCAGTCCAGGCTGAAGACAGATGGTGAACTCTGCCCTGGGAGAATGATGGCTTACCCTAGGGAACACAGCTGCAAGTTGGATTATGTATCTCAGACCCTAGGTGCTCTTGAAGCAAGAAGAGACATCTCAAATTGGGTGTGCTGGGGAGGCCTTCCTAGCAGGAGGGGGACTTAGGGTGGAGCCTGCAGTGATGATGACTTTTAATCATGCTAGTCAAGAAGGGAGCAGTGCCAAAAAGGCACAAAAACATAAACCAGGGCTTGATCAGCCTATCTGGGAGTCAACATGAAGACAGGATTGACTGAAGACTCTGAAATAAAGGAGGAATGAGAGAAGACATAAAGGTGTAAACTGATTTCTAGGCTAAAAGGTTTACACCAGCTATAGTAAGTCATTAATAATAATTACCATTACTTTATCTGTCTTATTACACCTACCATTTATCTGGTGTTTACCAACCTCACCTAAGCCATAATTACAGACACTATTCTAAGTACTTTGCATTTAAATAATAACTCCTTTATTCCCAGGTGAGAAAGTCAAATGAGGTCACAAAGACACTGTGTAAATGTTAGGTACAGAGCAAAGCAATAAAGGGGCATTATTGTGGTTAATGACATTCTGCTAATAGGATCTTTTTGGTGAGGGAGCAGGAAAATCCTTGATGCATTCATTGTCTGATCCTCCCCTACAGCCTGGGAGGTTCTGAAGCCGGGGCTCCCCAGAGTTATTTACCTTCCAGTTCTAGTTTCTTCCTCTCCACCTCTTTCTTGTACTCCTCCAGCTCCTGGTCAGTGAGTTGGCTGAAGGGGTTGGGCACCGTCTCCTCTGAATCATCTTTGGTATCTGCATCACCCTTGGACATCAGCTGGCTCTCTGTAGACTGAAAGTTAACCACAGAGTGTGTGTTGCTCTCTGAACACTGTGGTGGGGGCCTGGGCCCACACTTCCTTTCAGATTCAGGTGGCTGCCAGCAGTCTTGTTAGGAATAGCGTGGCATGCAGCTCCTTGGAAACAGCTCAGGGACTTGGGGGTAAGTTTTGTTCACTCCTCACCATTGCTATCTTATCCTCAGACCCAGACTTTGCAACTGCCTGGATGAATGCAGGGGATCACCCTTAATCCCGTGAAATAAAATCAAAGGATGCTCCCAAGCAGAAGGACGACACACCTTTATTACAATCCCTTCTCTGGGTACTTCCAAGCCATCACTATGCAAATACAATCAGTGGCCCAATATCAATCAGCCAAAGTCCAGCAAGCATAGCATTAGCTCAAGCAAGCTTCATGCCAGCAATTCCTACCCCTCCCCAACCCTCCCCTCTTCCACAGCAATGCAAGCCACAACACACAGCATTAAATTGTATGCAAAACACAGCAGATTCAGCATTCTCAGTCCAGTGATTAGTCCTGTTTTGCAGTCATAAACGACAAAGGGGCCAATGTCCTGAATCTCAGATCTTCAACCTGCCTGTTCTGCAGGTCCCTGCAGGGATACTGGTAAAAATCACATCATTTCATGAGCTCTGTGGGCCTCTGGTTCTGGGGAGATGGCCAGTTGGACACTGTGCAAGCTGTGGGAATCCTTTAGCCCCTGTAGCTCAAGGTAATGACTAAAATTCAGATGCTAAAGCCTTCCCCCCACCCAATTTAGCACCCTCATCTTGGTCTTTGAGAACGAAGCACTCTGAAGCTGAGAGGAAGCAAAGCAAAGCCAAGGCAAAGTGAGCCTAGATTGGCCAGGTCTTCTAATGACAAGACCACACTCCTTGCAAAAGGGAGACAGCAACAGGTCTACTGCAAAGAATCATGGGGTCAAAGGAAGATCCAAGATCCCAAGGAGTGGGTCTCTAAGGAAGATTTTGGTGTAACTGGCCAGAGACAGGTTTTAAACAATCTTACTCACTATGGTGATTGTTCACCTCCCTTCGAATCATGGGAATTTTATGCTTGACCTTGTGGCATATTCACCCTGAGTGGGGTGGATAGCAAGGGTGTGAAGATCTAGTGCTCACACTTCTCTTAACAGTGGGCCCCCACCTTGTGGGCTGCAGCCTGATCTAAACTGTCTCCTTCTCTTCATTTGCTCTACAGAAAGGAACATTGCCTGCAGTTCTGAAATTTTACTGCTAAGGAAAACATCATGCCCATTGCTGCCTTGCCATGAGTAGTGAGGATTTCAAGCACAGACTAGGATTTTGAATTTTACCCTGGCTGTTAAGCACAAGGTGAAACAACATTTTAGCTCAAGCACAGAAGTTCATGCTTTCTAACACTAAGCAGGCCTGTGCAGGTAGCTGGGTGTCCCTCTTGTCTCTACATGCCCCTTTCAGGGCAGGTTAGGAGTATCTTCTCAGAGCTGTGGCTGAATGATACCATATCTATGCAGACAGGTTGAAACACTCAGAGCTGGGCAGGCCCGGGGCACCTGGGAGCCACCAGCCTCAGTGGGGCACTAACGAAGGGCCTCGTGGACTTCCACAGTGGGAGGTATGGAGTTTGGAGCCGGCCAGCGGCACTCCTGTGGGCAGCTGGGCTCTGCTCCCCACCCCATGCCCACAGGGGCAATTAGCCATTGTCCTTCTAGGACCTGGCAGCCCCCCCCGGCGGGTGGATCTCTATTTTATAGTAGGAGCCCTGGTGCCCAGACCACAAGGGAATGTGGGCATAAGGACTCAGGGGTCCTGCTGCCCAGTCTCAGGCATGGAAGACCCAGAAGGCAAATATGCTTCCCCTCCAGCCAGGGGCGGACTCTGCTGTACCGGGCTTCGGCTCTTCTCAGCAATGACGCTTGCCAGGAGCTGGGACTGCGGCCCTGCTGACTTCACATCTTGTCGGTTTTGCTCTCGAATCTGTGTGGAAAAGGGAGAGGGAAGGTTCATCACGAGAGTGTGGGTGGGTATGTTGGGGGTGCAGTGTGTCCTGTGGCTGGGATCTAGAAAGGCCCTCAAGTGGTGCAGGAGCCTGGACACAACCGATCTATCCTACAAGATGGTTTCCAATTATCCTCTGGATAATTGGACTCCTAGTTCATGCAAAACCCCAGACAAGATTAGCTTTAACAAGTGTTTGTAAGAGGTAAATACTCCTAAGGAGCTCCTGAGGATTTTTTTTTCAGTACTAGGGTATAAAGTCAGGGTTTTGAGCCTGCTAAGCAGGTGCCCACTGCTGAGCCATGTCTCCAACCCTTTTTTGCACTAGTTATTTTTTTTTGTCGGTCATGGGGCTTGAACTCTGGGCTTGAACGCTATCCCTGTACTCTTCAGCTCAAGGCTAACACTCTACCGTTTGAGCCACAGCACCACTTCTGGTTTTCTAGTGGTTTATTGAAGTAAGAGTCTCATGGACTTTCCTGCCCAGGCTGGCTTTGAACTGTGATCCTCAGATCTCAGCATCCTGAGTAGCTAGGATTATAGGAGTGAGCTTTGTACTAGTTATTTTTTTGACACAAGGACTCTTTCTCTCTCTTTCTCTCCCTCTCTCCCTCTCCCTCTCTCCCCCCCTCCACCCTTTCTCAGGTGCATGCCTAGACTGCAATGCTACTATTTAATGATTTCCATGGTAGCAGGAATGTCAGGTATGTACCATCATACCTAGCTTCTTTCATTGAGATGAAGTCTCACAAAATCCCCTATTCAGGCTGGCTTGGAACTACCATCCTCCCAATCTCAGCCTCCCATATAGTTGGGGTAATAGGTATGTGCCACCATGCCCAGCTGTTCATTGAAAAAAAAAGTCCTGGAAACATTTTGCCCAGGCTGCCCTACTGAAGGTTGTCTATTACAACTCAAGTTCTTAAAAGTCTCATTAAAAGTATAAGGGAGTGAACTTTCAGGCAAAGCTCCAGAATAATTACAAAGGATCTTGAACGTAAGCCAAAGGAAAACAGCATAGAACTCATAAGAACTTGTTTCTAGGTCTTTCAGGTGTACGTGTAAAGCAAGTGTCAAGGGCAGTCCAAGACTATGTAAGTCTAGCTCCCAGGACAGTGTCTAAAACATGGTCTATGCACTATCATTTCTTCCTCCTCTGATACATGGAGGTATTGGTGAGTGACGCCTTTCCTGAGAGCTCCGCTTACGTTTGCAGGACTGCAATCCCATTGCAGGCAAAGAAGGTGGCACAAATAACCACCACCTTACCTTGTTCCTCATGTCCAGCACTTCTTGAGGGTCGGTGTAGAGAGGCACAAATTGGTTTGGGTTTTCAATCCGTATTGGCATGCCACTGCTGGATTTCTCTACCTCATCAGCTTTCATCCACTGCACAAGGCAAACCAGCTAGGTAAAGAAAGGAATAAGACCTCTGGCCTCCCCCTTGAGATCTGGGCCCACCAGCCTATATGGAAGGTCAGAAAGACTATTAGAGATGTTCTCTCTCCTTTGGCCCCTTTTGAGATCAGTCTTCCAGAACAGATATGGGTGACAGATGAACCAGCTCTAAACAAGGTCCTCATAAAGAAGATGGGAGAGCAGGGGACAGAACCTTAGTGACCAGTTTCGACAGGAAGCCATTTGGGCTTCAGGATGAATCCAGGTAGCTGGATTGGAGTTTCAAAGGACATCATGAACAACTAGTTTGTTTTGCTGCCAGTTACTTTTATGTTAGTGAAATATCAAATTGAGAGTCTGTATGTGAGAGGAAGTAAAATAACAAGAAGATAACTTGGTATAAAATGGCAAGTGCCCATTTCCTGAGTTTGAGTAAGACTTGTAGCCTAAATGTTGGATGCCCATCCCAGGAATTTCTCAGAAGCTCTCTGCCTCTGGACAAAAGAGCAAGAAGCAAAGAAATGACTGTCCCAGATCTTGGGAGTACACTAGTCTGACTTCCCTCTGAGGGATCCACCCTGTAACTGCCTCCAAACAGTGAAGAAGAACAAAAACAGGTGGAGGAGTTTGGCAGAGCTGAGCTGCTGCTCCCAGAGGCCCAACAGGAAGCCTTATGAGGAAACTATACAATCTTAGGCAAAGGGAGATTTGCTCTGTTCCCTTTGTAAAGTTGCTTATCCTCTCAAGTGGAGCCAGTCTCCCCTCAACTTCTCCCACCCCCGTATCTCCCCAGGCCTGTCCTGGGCTCCCCCTTACTGTGGTCTTGGGCCTGGGACTGCCCATGTTCCTCTGGACCTCATCAGCCACATTGACCCGCAGGTAGGTGTTGGGTGTGTTGAGCCAACGAGTCTTCTCCTTCTGCTGCTTCTGGGCATGTTGACGCAGAGCAGGGACTGGGGCACCATCCTCTTCAAATACAAAGGCTGTGACTGTGGCTGGGATTTCCACTTCACTTTTGTGTTTGGCTTTCTCTTGGACAAAGGGATGGCGGTATGTGTAGCCTGTTCTATAGCCCTAACAAAGACAAAATCAGAAGCACTTAGTGGGGAGGAAACAAAAAGTACATGCATATGTTCACACACTCACACTTTATGTCCTTCTAGTTATAAGACTCAGTTTAAACCCAAATCTCCATGAGATAACTTGCCACTCTTATGGCAGATTTCAGAGCTATGTCCTTCTGTTCTCTAACTCAAGCTGTCTGATCAGGACTGAGAGTCCCTAGAACATAGACAAAGCTCCTATCTGCACACAAGCCTGATCTGTTCTAGTGTATCTTGAAATTATCAGAGGAGCTAGAAAAATGCTGATGCCTGAGCCCCCACTTCAGAGTTGCCCACTTAATGGCACAATGACATGGCCTAAGAATTGTTCAAAGCATACAGTTGATTCAGTCACCTCTCCCTTCCTTAATCTAGACCTTCTCAGCTATTTCTATCTAGGAGCCCTGAACCCTACTCAAAACTCAAAGCAAGACTCACACCCTTGAAGGCAGAGTGGATGGCTGTGCAGAGAGAACAAATGGGAATTTTGGTACCTGTTGGAGTAACACTTGACTCTCTTTTTCCTTCTTTTATTTTTTTAAAAATTAAAATTGCCTCCCTGATAAGTGGATGCTAAATCCAAAAGGTTAGGTGATACGACAAAACTAACAGGACTTAAGAAACAAAGAACTCCCGCTCATCTGGTTGAACCACTACTAAATATCCTCATGCTGCTGATCACAAATATGGTATATAACATGTGAACACTGTTATATATTACAGACTGTGGTAGACAGGGAAGTTAGAATGAACTTGTGACTTTGAAATTATGTAATCATTTAATCACAATCAAAAAAAAAAAAAAGAACCTCGGGGAAGGGAGGGAGGGAGGGGATGGTAGGGGGAAAACAATGGAGGGGGTAACAATGTTCAAGAGGAAGTGTACTCATAACCTCACTCATGTAACTGTAACCCTCTGTATAGTAGCTTTACAATAAAAAAAAAAAAAAAGAGTAAGTGGAAAGACAGGAAATAGAAATAGCAACTATAGTCTATACTCTCTAGACCCTTAACTGTGAAATACAAGAGACAGCACTAGCTAGAAGGAGACATCAAGTTGACAGAGAGTTCCCTTTTTTTTTTTCCTCCAGGTAATTACTTTTTATTATTATTAATAAGTTTTTTTATACAGAGGGGCTACAATTACATGAACAATGTAATGAGTACATTTCTTATCAAACATTTTTGCTTCCTCCTTTGTTTCTACTTACTATCCCTGCCTTCCCATCTCTGCCCCCACTCCCTGCCAAAGTTGTAAAGTTCGTTTTCCAACATAGCATCTTGTACATCTCATTGTTGCAATGGGTCCACCTATATCCCTATTTAAACAATTTTTCCCTTCCCCAAATTATACCAACATCAAATACAGTGAAAACAGGGGTTATACTGTGTGGAGAGTCCCTTTTTTTTTTTTTTTTGTAATAAACCTTTTTTACTTTGAAATAGAAAAAAAAATTAAAATTGCATTAATGTATTTATCTAATTTTGAATGAAATATAAGGTCATGTGGAAAACTTAAGCAATGTAGAAAAATACTTGGGTAAAAATAAATGTTAGGCAAAAGCTCACCTCCAAATCCAACCACTAAAAATCTTCTGTCAGCTCTGTATAAACATATGTGTGCATGTGTACTTAATTATATGTAAAACTGGATAGTTTTAATTACATATAGTTGTCACTTGGTTCTCTTTCTTGGTAAATTGTTTTATGTTCTTAGCCCACATTTCCACTGAGATGGTTTTCTTTTTCACACGGATATATACCCTTTTCACATTAAGATTATTAATCTTTAGCTGTCAACTGATGCTGCAAATATTTTTCTGCACAATATATCTTTTAGCTTTATTTATGGCAAGGGAGTAGATTACAGAAATGTAAGTTCTGAATTTTTAATGTAACGGTATCTATCAGTATTTATCATTACCTTGTCATCCTTTTTGAAATTTACCTTACTGACAAGGTCTTCCCACTACCAAAACACCATAAATATAAATCCATGTTTTTTAATAACTCTGTTTTTTTTATGCTTTAATTTTTGAGAGGAAAGTGGCAGCCATTTTTACCTAGCTTTCTTTTAGAATGGCTAGAGGTCTATCTTTTCCATGCTCATTTATAAAATATGTACTTACCCTGTGCAAATTCTCATATAGCCTGGGTCTATTTATGGATTGCCTCAGCTGTTGAATGGGTTGGCTGTCCATTTTGCTCGTGTCCTACTGCTTGGTTATTGAAGTCTTGTCACATTTTACCATGGAGTGAAATTAAATCCCCAGTGATTTCGTGCGTATGAGTGTTTGTATTGATTGTGGGGCTTGACCTCAGGGCCTGAGCACTGTCCCTGAACCCTTTTGCTTAAGGCTAATACTCTACCACTTTGAGCCACAGCTCCATTTCTGGTTTTTAAGTGGTTAATTGGTTATAAGAGTCTCACAGGGACTTTTCTGCCCAGGTTGGCTCTGTAGCATTTTCCTAGCCATTCTGAGTTTCATGCTAGAAGTGTATTGGCTTTTTTGTCATTATTATAGAAGTATATTTACTAAAGTCCTTGTACCTTCTCTTTCTCTCTCTCTTCTCTTTTCAATCACATTGAGATTATACATATATTTGGGGTCTATGACTTCTTTAACCTTCTTGAAGCTTCTAACCAAGAACAAATTATACCTCTTCACTGATTGCAAATTTTCTCTGATTTCTATTAGAAGCTTTATGGTTTCCTTAAAATGAGATTTGCTTAATTTTTGTAACTTTGCTGCATTTACATGTAAGATTATTTTCTCTGATGATTGTTTTTGTTTTGCAGTGCTGGGGTTCAAACCCAGGGCTTCACACATCATGCATTTTGGGAAGGTGCCTCTACAGCTGGACCGTGCCCCCAGCCCTTGTTATCTTTTCAAAACAGTTAACACTAAGATACTGATTTTTGTATACATTTTCATACTAACTGCCTCAAGATGTCTTCATTGCTTCTAATTGTTTTCCAGTTGATTTTCTTGGACTTCACAGGCTTGTAACTATATTATTTGTAAGGATTAGCAACCTTATTTTCCTTATACTTCTTACCATTTTATCATACTGCCTGGGTTTCAGTTTCAATATTATTCCAGAATATCCAAGAATATTACTAAGAGTAGGAATCATTATTTTGTTAAAGTTTAATGGAAATACTTATAGTAATCCCATACTTCTACTTGCTCTTGTTTTAGGGAAATTATTTTCTTCATATTAAATAAGTATTCTCTTCTAGTCAGTGACGATGGTTTTTATAAATTGATGTGAAATTTTTGTCAAATATCTAAATTATTTTTTGTTATTATCTGGTTTGAACTCAGGGTCCAGCCCTTGCTTGATTGGGCTTGCTTGATTGGTATTCTATCACTTGAGCCACATATCCAGCCCTGTTTTGTTGCTAGTTATTTTGAAGACAGAGTCTCAAAGACTTTTCTGCCTAGGTTGAGATCTTCAGTCCTCTAGATCTCAACCTCCTGAGTAGCTACTGAAGTATCTAGGACTTTAGGCCAATGGTATCTGGCTCAAATTATCTTTTGATGTTTATTAAAATGATAAGAGCCAAGCATTCGTGGCTTACTTTTGTAATCCTAGCTACTTAGGACACTGAGAGTTGAAGATCAGGAAAGTCTTTAAGACTTGTATCTCCAATTAATCAGCAAAAAGCTGGAAGTGGAGCTGTGGCTCAAGTTATAGGGCACTAGCCTAAGCAAAAAAGCTCAGGGGCAGCCTGAGTTCAAGCCTCGGGACCAGAAAACAAAAATAAGAAATTTTTTCTTTTGAATCTCCAAAATAATGAATTATATCTAAAGGATTTAGAATATTAAGCCATTTTTACATTCTAGGTAGGAGGCCTTATGTGGTTATTATATAAATCAGGATTCTAATATTATATGGATGTTGCTTTCCAGTTTTTAGGTGGTCTGTGGTATAATTGCTATGGCTTAGTAATGTTTCACTCTTCTCTAAAATAGTGTCAATAGCATAAAGGTTTGAAGGAATTCCTGTATGAAACTCTCTAGTCTTGCTGCTTTATTTAGGGATAGATTTCCTAGCACATAGATTGTAACAGGAACTGCAGTTTCACTGTGGACTGCATCTTTTCTCCCTATAAAGTGGTCCTCATGGTCAGCCTGGTAATAATGGAAAGATGTCTTGGAGGAAAGAAAGCAGAAGAAAAGTATTGATCACTGCAATCCTAGGCATAAATAGTATTAATTGTTACAAAGATCTCAGGGCAGTAGCAATGAAGGAGGGAGAGAGAACCCAAAAGAAATGTTATGAAGATTGCCCGGCACTGGTGGCTCATGCCTATAGTCTTAGCTACTCAGGAGGCTGAGATCTGAGGATCATGGTTCAAAGCCAGCCTGGACAGGAAAGTCCATAAGATTCTTATCTCCAAATAACCACCAGGAAACCGGAAGTGGTGCTGTGGCTCAAGTGGTAGAGCACTTGCTTTGAGCTGAAGAGCTCAGGTACAGTGCCCAGGCCCAGAGTTCAATCCCTATGACTGACATACACAAAAAAAAAAAAAGGAAAAAGAAAAAAGAAAAGAAAGAAAGAAATGTTACGAAGATAGATTCATCTTCATTTTCTGAGCAACCTAAGAAGAGGTTTCTTTTCCTTACAATTAGATTTTCATTGTTTATGCTTGTCTTTTGTTTTTTAATTGTCTCCTGATTATATCCTATGTCATCAACTAAATTAATAGCTCCTGGAGGAAGGACAAATACCTAGAAAAGTTTTGGATATCCTTTAGTGAATCAGACCACTTCTGTTTCTTTATGTGACTCATTCATTTATTCATTCACTTGTTCCAATAAGATATTATCATGAAGCTGCTGCCCAGAAATAAGGAAACTGGTGTCATTATGTGCTTCCTGCATTGAAGTCATAACACTTCAGAAAGAAGGCAGGATTGATTACATAAGAGTCACAGACTAGGCTTCAATCTGAGAGAGGCTCCGAATGCAAGAGGTCTTATTTCACTGGATTACTACTTTTCCTAGAGCACTCAGCAGGTATGGCTAGAAGTCAGAGTAAGTGGTGGCAAAGGCTATCACTTAAGACAACTCAACTACTGTTAGAACAATTACAAATCTTCAAAATGCTTATCAATGGGGCCTTCAACAACCTAGCTGTGACACTGGCAGTGTTCATGACCTCTCCCCTACCCTCAAGTTTAGCCTTGCAATGAAGGCTAAACTTCCATGGACTGGCCTCAGAGGACTCACCAAGTTATCCAGCATCCTCATGAGGGCCTCGAACTCATGCTCACCCAGCCGGCTCTTCTGCATAGGCCCGAAGGTACTCCCAGCCCACTGCACAGAGCCCACCTCATGGGGCCGGTGTTTCTCCTGCTCCAGGAGGATAAGGTTCTCCACTCCTCCTGCACTGGACAGAGCCGACACCTGCAACAAGAAAAAGATGGCCCATGGGACCTCACCTTCTCATATGCTCCTGCATGCAACTGAACAATCACCATCATGGAGGAGAACCAGAACTCAGGAAGTTCTGGGAAACTGAGAAAAACTATACAAAACCCTACCATATTCAGGAAATGCATTATTAGTCATCCTTTTCTGATCATAGTTCTTAGAGACCTCAGAGAAGAAAAAAGGAATAGCAAGGGTTAAACCTTAGGAATAAAACAATGTAGAGGACTGAAAAGTTCTGGGATAGAGATCAACTTAGAATTGTTATTATTTCTAGGGAGGAAGGATGAGATTGGAAAGGGCTCCAAAGGGGACTTGAATTTTTCTCTGTAATGTTAGGTTCCTTCTAAAGCTATTACTATTTGTTCAATCTGAATGGTGGGCGCTCAGGATGCCTATTATGTTATTATCTGCATTTTTCTGCATGTTTGAAATCTCAGTCTCCACTCCCTCTCCACTTCTCTTGTAACAAGTTAAAAACAGGTTGACTTTTAGGCCAGTGGAATGTGCGTGTACCCATATAGAAGGTTTAACAGGTCTAAAGGTACAATGCATCTGCCGTGACAGGATGAGCCAGTCATGAAAACCCAGGAAAAGAAAAACAATCATATGCCCAAAGTAGTGTTTAAGAGCTCGGACTTGAACACCACGATGCCTGTGTTTGAATCCTGGCTCTGACATTTCTTCACTGAGTGGCTTTCAGCTACTGTTTACTATCTTTGTGCCCCAATTTCCTCATCTGTAAAATTAAAATAGTAATACCCACCTTGTGAGGAGTCCTTCATATTATGGTTGTGAAGCAACAGAATAGCCCTGGTATCTTCAGAATGCTAAATGAATGTGGCTGATATGTGAGTTCTGAGCTGCCACTTACCCTGGCCCTGGCCACTTATGGAGAAGGAGAGAAGGCAGAAAACAGTCTACAATCTTGCAAGAGCTGAGTCCTTCCAACTCCCCCTTCTTCTTCCAGTTCCCATGGTGATGGGTAGCAGATGGAAAACTGCCTGCACTTGGTCCCATCTGCCTATCAGCAAGAGCCTGCCTTTGTCAGGTAGAGATGACACAGTTTCCTGAAGCCCCAACTTGATGGGGAGTAAAGAGAACACTGTATCCAGGAGAGCTTAATAAGCACTTGACCTGGAACCATAACATGTTCATAGTCACGTCTGCTTTTAGCCAGGGTCATTGAGAGAGAAGACTGGGCTCATGATGGAAGCAGAGCTTTAGGAATGGCTGCTCTGCCCAAAAGGACCAGGTGCAATTCCAACAACACTTGCAGATTGAGCTACCTTTGCTCTTCCATGATCCAGCCAACCAGCTCTGGCTTAATCTTCCACATCTTCTAGAATCATTCATCTCTCTAGGAGCCCCTTTAACCCATTGGCTGTTCAAAAGGCATTGGAATGTTTCTAGGGGCTGGCTGCCTACGCTGCCTAAAGTAACTTAACAAAGTCATATTAAACACATCCTGAACAGAAAGTGGCAGCAACCAGAAGGTCTGACAAAGTTGGGGGCTGGCATCTCTGCCCTTTGATCATAGATGGTTGTTCTGCCTTTCATTAAATTTCCAGTGGCCACTTTTGGGGTCTGGAGCCTAGAGGAGGCCTCAATTACTATAAGGAAGTAAGGGGACACACAATGTCTCTCTCCATTCATGTTTAGGTTCTGGGATATCTCTGCAAATATATGAGGTTTTCCAATGATCTGTTTTACATGGAAGCCTCTTCTCCAGAGGCCCTTAGGGGTGCAGGTATGAAGCAGGTGCTAGTGGCTTATATCAATCCTTGCTACTTGGGAGGCTGAGGACAGGAAGATCATGGTTTGAGGCCAGCCCAGGAAGAAAGTTTGTGAGACTCCATCTCAGACCATAGCTAGACGCAGTGGTATATGACTGCCATCCTAAGCTATGTGGGAGGCTTATGCTGGGCGGATCACAGCTGTAGGCCAGCCCCAGCAGAGAAGTCTGTAAGACTTCATCAAAATGGAGAGATGCTAGACTTAGTGGTATGTACTTGTCACCCCAGCAATGATGGGAAGCTAAAATAGGCAAATTACAGTCCAGGCATATGTCTGGGCAGAAAGACTAAATCTCAAAAATAACCCATAAAAAACAGAGCTGAAGGTATGGCTCAGGGATTGAGCACCTGCCTAGCAAGTGTGAGGCCCTGAGTTCAAACCTCAGTAGCTCCAAAAGACAAAGAGTCTAGGCATGAATAGGTCAAGTGCCTTCTCTCATTGCAGAAACTCCAACAGATCCTGCTGCCACTCAGTGGTTGGGAGGGGAGAGCACTGCATCAGACAGAGAAGCATCACCTGAGTTCTGTGTCTCCCTTCCCCTGGTCTCCAGTTGACTGCTGATGTTTGGGGAAAGAGGAGGCTCACACCATTTCCTATAACACCTCAGCACCCCTGGCTTCACAACTCTTTTTATATCTCATTCGTGACTCAGAGAGGAAGGCTCTGCCAAGCCAGCCAGAAGAGGGCAGATGGGGCACCAAAAGGCCCTGCAAAGAACTGACTCATCCTGGAGCAACCAGCCTCCCCTTCTGTCCTAAAATACCACCCACACCACCTCCCCCTGTCTGAGAAGCCTCGTCCTCACAGCAATCTTCTCTACAGTACAAGAAATGGGTTCATGGAGGACAAGTCCTCTCCCCAAGGACACACAGGCAGAGCTGAGGATAAGAGTACACTCTACCTGCTAACAAGTCTTCTAGGACTGGGCAAGGCCTCCCCCACCACAGAATCACACCCTCAGTGGGCGGGTGTTCCATAGCCTCACAACCACCTTGTTGTCTACAGAATACCATTTGTTTTCCTGTTGCTTCTGCACCAACTGCTCTAGAGGGGTCTATAATCCCTAATGGTCTCCAGCTGCATGATGGGCCCCCTGCATACACCTGGAGGCTGCCCTGGCTGTTCAGGCTTCCATGTCAATACTCCAGCTGGCCTGCTCCCACTTCTCTTCCCGGATTTAACTATGTTCTTGGCCTTTACACACCCCCATCCTCACTCCACTCTCTTACACAAAATATGCAAACAAACAAACTTACTTTTGTGCCTCCACTGGCATAAGTAGGTGGAGCAGGCACACCAGATAATGCAAGAACACCGTAAGGACTTTCATGTGCCCATGACAATTTCTCTGGACAAGCCCAGGCAGCTCCCTGGGCCCCCAGAGCTGGGTGGTAGTTGTTAAGACAATGGTGATCCAGTTTGCCTCTGCTTAGAACTGACTCTATGGTAAGTGTGAAGATGATATTGAGGCAGAGAAATAGGTCAGGCTCAAAGGCTTTCACCTTGTATCTCAGACTCACAGCCAGTGGAGCTATCACCAGCATTCCCAGAGGACATGGCTCACCTGTATCTCACATGCAGCCTGCAGGTGGAAGACCTTATAAAACGCCTCCTCCACGGAGTCGCCAAGAGCAACCACACCATGGTTTCTTAGCACCAGGATCTGTGAAGGAGAAAAGCTAAGTAAACTTTAAGCCTTCAAAACTTTACTCTGGAGAGAACTTTCATTTTATTTAGATTAATTCAATATCCAAGCCTAGAACCTCTCCCTCAATTCTGTTTATTCTCTCTAGCCAAATACCCCAATAATACCTAAAGCATCAGAGGGTTTTTGGTTTTGTTTTCTCTGTACTGGGGATTGAACCCAGGGCCTCAGAGGTGCTAGGCAAGTGCTCTCACACTTGCAACCTGTCACCAGTCTGTTTTTATTTTTATTCTGTTTCTGCAACAGGGTTTTATTAACTTCGCTTGAGTTGGCCCAGAATTCCTGATCTTCCTGCCTCGGACTCCCAAGTAGCTGGGATTATAAACATTTACTATTATACAGGCAGTTTTAAACTGAGACTATATAGCTTGATTGATTTCTTTGGGCAATGCATAGGTTTCCAGGCCTTTGAGAACTCAGTTTTCTGAAAAACTGGTATGTGTTATTAAAGTGAATCGAACTATTTAATGTCCAATACAAGGGTCCAACCTAAAAACAAAAGAAAAATCCAACAATCTTTTGGCAGAGCTTTGGTGGCTTACACCTATAAATCCTAGCTATTCAGGAGGCTGAGAGCTGACAATCGAGGTTCAAAACCAGCCCAAGTAGGAAAGTCCATGAGACTCTTATCTCCAATAAACTATCACAAAAGCAGAAGTACAACTGCAGCTGAAGTGGTGGAGCACTAGCCTCGAGGAAAACCAAAAGAGGAGCTCAGGGACAATGCTCAGGCCCTAAATTCAAGTCCCAGTACTGGCACAAAAAACAAAACAAAACAAATCTTTTGTCTCTCTGACTTGGTTGATTTGGGGTTAAAAATCTGAGAGCAGTTCTCTGAGAAGTAGCTCTATAGAAAGATGTGATCGCATTGCCTCCCTAGGACAGAGGCCTTCTGAGCTTCTAATCTACTTGATTTTACAGGCAAGGAAATAGAAGTTTAAAAAAAAATTGAAAGTCTCTCAGCTAATTAGAGGTAGACTCCAAACTAACCAGCAACAGAGGCATAGGAAGAGGTAAGGGGGATCAGAAATCAAGGATCTTCTCCTTGCAGAGCCTGGGCTAGAGCTTTGTGGCTCAAAACACCACATCCACACTTGTTAAAAACAGCTAGTTTTCCCTCTCAAATGCCAAAGAAAGAGACAACTCTCACACAAAAATTAAAAATACTGGCAAACAACAAATACCTATCTCAAATCCTTGTAGTCGTAGATGTAGCTACCTCAGCCCAGCACTGCTAATAATATTCTGGATGTCAGAAGAGAAGGGTGATATTTCTTGGCCCAATTAAAAATAGGGAGATGAACTCAGACAGCAAGTGACTTGAACAATAAGTGGATTGCCACGATGGCAGCAAGTGACCACCATTCCAGGCTCAATTTCAAAGTTCTGCCATGCTCCCAATTCTGTACTGTTATAAGGTAATGCTTTTGCATTAAGCCAGGCAATGATGAGTTCCCATTTTTTCTCTCTAGCAAGTTGACAATGAATAAATAAATGTGATAACACTCAAGTTTAAAGAGACTGCAGAGAAATAGCATTCTTTACACTAGACATGGGGGGGGGGGGAAGGGAACAATCTTTGTGGATATATTTGGCAACATGAATTAAGGGTTCTAAAGTATGTGTCTACAGAAATCTGTTCTAGGGAAATTGCAGTATGCACAAAGATTTAGCTGAAAGGGTTTGCAGCAATTTTTATTTATAGTATAATAAGATGCAGGCAGCAGGGCCCAACTACCAAAGATTGTTCAGAGGAGTGGTAGCAGAGCCATTCGCAAAGTGAGGTCTAATTTAATCACTTAAAATAGTGACAGAAAGGGTGGGATGTAGCTCAGTGGCAAAGCACTTGCCTAGAAAGCGCAATGTCCTGGGTTCAATCCCCAGTACCAAAAAGAAAAAAAAATAGTGACAGGAAATACTTAATGCCATACAAAGTTGTTTACTGTATATTGCTAAAGAGAAGAAAGAACTTATTTTACCATCCCAGTTCTGTAAGTACATGTGAATAAATTTGGAACATGCATTAAGGCTTCAGTAGTGTGATAGGGTATTTATTTCATTTCCTTTTCTTTAAAAAACACCCTAATGCACACAAGTCGCATTGGGGGGTGTCAGTTCTGGACAAGGCCCTTCTATATCATCTCCCCAGAATTGCTGAGCAAACCTTGCAGGTGGGTCCAAGGCACTTCTGCAGGTTGATGCGATCGGCTTCCTGCTCCATTTCCCCATTGAAGTCATAATAGGCCATGTCCCCCACCAGCAGGGCATTGTGGGAGACAGGCAGGAGGCCACACTTCATGGCTGACACCTGTAGAGAAACAATAGCTGCTGTGTCTGCAGCTTCAACCCCACAGCATAGCTGCCTTCCCCTCAAAGTAACATAGGCCAGCTCTGCTCTGCAGCTAGTGGGGTGAAGGGAGCAGGCACAGGAGAAAGGCCATTGCCCTTTCCTCCACTTCCTCCTCCACTGACAGGTGTATGCTTTCATGTTGTGGTCTCCATGGCTTTCCATCACTGCTTTCATAGCAGTTGACAGAGAATGAACTCAGGAGAGCTATTACTGCCATCCGAAGCTTTCTCTTCTTTTGTGATTCTGGGAAGAAACAAGGGTGGTAGAGTCTGTATCAGGTTGTGGTGAAACAGGATCCACATCCCCTGGAATGGGTTTTTGGAGACCCTGTGCCATGGTTTCAGTGCACAATGGCCATGTTGCCTCACTAACAGGAAAGGCCTCATCTTACGGCAATGGGGCAGTGTGAGCACCAGAGACCAGGCTTAAAACCAGTTTATAATCTTTATTTCTACCTCTGACCTTAAAAAGCAATGTGCATGGAGAGGTGTCAAAGGGCCCTGACACTCCTTCACTCACTGTGCCCCATGTATCAGCCCGGGGCTCTGCAGAGATGCTAAACACAAATTCATTGTAGCAACTTGGTCTCAATTCTGTGAGGTCCCTGTGCTCATGACTGCCGTGCTTCCCTAAGGAAGCAGCAGGTTTGTGGCAGGTCTGTTGGATTGTTGTCGTGGTCTGGGAGCAGTTGGAAGGTGTGTTGAGGCAATGTCTAGAACTGGCTGTCTACTAACTCTCAAGTGACAGTACAAGGTTTTATGCACACATATGAGAAATGGCCAGTGACTATTTGGGGACAACCTGTTCCTTCAAGATTTTTCCTTCTACTCATCCCCAATTTGCTGGCTCACGTCCCCAGCCCTTAGTGACCCTAAGCAATAAAATGTGGAGAGGTCCTAGCTCCCACCAATTTGCTATCCTCTGTCTAGAAATCCTTTCCTTGAGTCTAGGCTATGTGGGTCAGAGGCAGTTTGTGGCCTGACAGGATTGACTTCAATAGAAACTTGAAGGCACCATCCTCTGGGCAAGTGGCCCACGTGTGTGTGTGTGTGTGTGTGTGTGTGTGTGTGTGTGTGTGTGTGTGTGTGTGTGTGTGTGGTAAAATGCAGGGTAGGAAGCATGTAGTAGAATGAACATCTCACACCTTACCTTATGCCAAGACTTCAGTAGGTTTAAAAAAAAGGAATCGGATGAGGGTTTCTACATTGAGAATTTTCTCTTCACTTTGGTCTTGGGTCCAGCTCTTTCCAAAGTTGCTTTTTTTTTCATGAATACAAGGTGTCTGACAACACTGTCACCCATTGCTCCTAACCCATCCCTTCTCTTACTTTTCTTTTTTTTTTTAATTGAGATTAGGTAATTACATAAATTTTACATATTTCACAGTATTGTGACTTAAAGTCACAAACACATTTTAACCTTCACAAGGCACATTGTCATTATCATGGTCTATAAAGGTTGTGAATTCTATGAGCTTTGACAATACAATTATTTCTTCCACACCAGGTGATGTTTACATTTCTTTCCTTTTGCTTAGTGTGAGCTGTCCCCTCTTTCCCTGTCATTCCTCCCTTCCCATCACTGTCTTTGAGTTGCTTAGTTCTTTTTCATCTATGTCCAGTGCAGCTGATGGACTCCTTTGTTGTATGTTGTTCCATTTCCCACTTATTCTGCGTTCTCTCCTAGTTTCCCTCCATTGCGTGCATATGTATATATATATCAATCATATACCATACATATGGTCAAGAACATGAAGTCATTTAGCAATGATATGACAAAATGAGTGGTTGTCCTTTGTTTCTTGAGTCCTGTTTACAAGGAGTCATATCTCCTTGCATTTTGGCTTTAGCATCCACATATCAGGGAGACCATGTGCCATTTGTCTCTTTGTTCTTGGCTTACTTCACTCAAAATGATTTGCTCTAGTTCCATCCATTTCCCTGCAAATGCCATTATTTTGTCCTTTCTGATGGCTGCGTAATATTACATGGTATATAGGTACCACAATTTTTGGATCCATTCATCAGTAGTAGGGCATCTGGAGGTTGTTTCCATATCGTGGCTATTGTGAACAGTGCTGCAATGAACATGGAGGTACATGTGTCTTTGTATCCTGGTTCCTATTGTTCAGGGTAGATGTCTAGGAGTGGTATGGCTGGGTCACAGGGGAAGTCTATATTTAGCTTTCTGAGGTACTTCCAGATTTCTTTCCAAAGTGGTTGTATTAGTATACATTCCCACCAGCAATGCAGTAGGGTTCCTTTTTCTCCGCATCCTCTCCAGCATTTGTTGTTGGTTGAAGTTAGGATGTGGGCCATTCTGTGGGGTAAAGTGGTATCCCAGTGTTGTATTTATTTACATTTCCTTCACGGCCAGGGATGATGAACATTTCCTCAGGTGTTTCTTTGCCATTTTTATCTCTTCTTCTGAGAAGTCTCTCTTTAGCTCCCTTGCCCATTTCATGATTTGTTTGTTAGATTTGGGAGAGGTTAGTTTCTTGAGTTCCCTGTATTTAATGGATATTAGGCCCTTGTCTGATATATTGCTGGTTAATATTTTTTCCCAATTAGTTGGCTGTCTTTCTAGTTTCATTGCTATTTCTTTAGCTGTGCAGAAACTTTTTATTTTAAGATAGTCCCATTTATTGAGTCTCTCTCCAATTTGTTGTGATTCTGGGACTCTGTTCAGGAAGTTCCTGCCTGTGCTTATAAGTTCAACTGTTTCTGTCCTGCAGTAGTTTCAGAGTATCAGGTTTGATGTTAAGGTCTTTACTCCATTTTGAGTTGATGTCAGTGCATGGTTAGGGTCCATTTTTAGTTTTCTGCATGTGGCCGCCCAGTTTTCCCAGCACCAGTAGTTAAAGAGGCTGTGCTTCTTCCACTGTATGTCTTTGGCTCCTTTGTCAAATATCAACTGACTGTACATATATGGTATTATTTCTGGGTCTTCTAATCTGTTCCATTGGTCTTCGGGTCTCTTTTTGTGCCAGTACGATGCTGTCTTTGCCTTTATAGTAGAGCTTGACATCCGGTACCATGATCCCTTCTGCATTCTTTCTTTTGTCTAGAATTGCTTTGGCTATTCTAGGTATTTTGTTGTTCCATATGAATTTTTGGACTGTTTTCTCTATTTCAGTAAAGTACATCATTGGGATTTGAGTGGGAATTGATCGAATGTGTATATGGATTTTGGCTATTTTCACTATATTAATTCTGCCTATCCAGGAACATGGGAGGTCTTTCCATTTCCTTGTATCCTCTATGATTCCTTTTTTTAGGCTTTTATAGTTTTCATGAAATAGATCCTTTACATCTTTGGTTAGGTTAACTCCTAGATACTTTTTTTTTTAGCTTACTGTGAATGGGGTTGTTTCCTTGATTTCCCTTTCTGCTTTTACATTGTTGGTGTACAGAATGGTGACTGATTTTTGTGGGTTAATTTGGTATCCTGCTACTTTGCCAAAGTGGTCTATAAGCTCTAAGAGTTTGGGGATGAAGCTTTTGGGATCATTAAGATATAAAATCATTCATCTGCAAAAAGAGATAGTTTAACTTCTTCCTCCCCTATGTGGATCCTTTGTCTTGCCTTTTTGCTCTGGCTAAGGATTCCAGAACTATATTGAAGATGAGTGGAGAGAGTGGGCATCCTTGCCTTGTTCCTGTTTTTTTGGGGAATTGGTTGTAGTTTTCCCCCATTAAGTATAATATTGGCTATTGGCCTGTCATATAAGGCTTTTATTGTTTTAAGGAATGTTCCTTCTATTCCTATTTTTTTCCAGAGCTTTTAATATGAATGAGTGCTGTATTTTATCAAAAGCCTTTTCCGCATCAATAGAGATAATCATATGATTCTTGACCTTGGATCTGTTGATGTGATGGATTCCATTTATTGATTTATGTATGTTAAACCATCCCTGCCATCTCTAGGATAAAGCCTACTTGGTCATAATGTATTATTTTTATATGTTTCTGGATTCTGTTGGCTAGAATTTTATTGAGGAGTTTTGCATCTGTGTTTATCAGAGATTGGTCTGTAGCTCTCTTTTTTTGTTGGGTCTTTGCCTGGTTTGGGGATGAGTGTGATATTGGCTTCATAGAATGAGTTTGGGATAGCTCCCTCTGTTTCTATTTCTCTGAAGAGCTTGAGGAGTATGGGTATTAGTTCCTTTTTAAAGGTCTTACAGAATTCCGTAGTGAATCCATCTGGTCCTGGGCTTTTCTTTGTTGGAAGACTTCTGATTGCTTCCTCTATCTCATTGCAGGTTATTGGCATCTTTGATTGATTTGTTTCTTCTTAGTTCAGTTTGGGCAATTTGGATTTCTCTAGAAATGCATCCATTTCTGCTAGGTTTTCCTTCCTTAGTGAGTATAGAGTCTGGAAATAGTTCTTTATAATTGTTTGGATGTTTGTTGGATGTTTGTTGTAATTTTTCCTGTGGCATCCCTGATCTAAAAAGCTGCTTTAAATAATAAGATTGGTTTGGAAGTGGCTCTGTGGCTCAAGTGGTAGAGTGTTAGCCTTGAGCTGAGGAGCTCAGGGACAACGCCCAGGCCCAGAGTTCAGGCCCCACGACTGACCAAAAAAAAAAAAAAATTGCTGTATGTCCAGTGACTTATGCATCTGACTTATGCCTTCCCTTAGAGAGAATACAAAGGTACCCTGGATCTGGCAGTCATGTATGGGATGTGATCTGAATGGAGGGCTCATGGATCTGACAGGGCCCCACTCACCGCTGCCGTGGCTGGTGTGTGCAGGTGGATGACACAGCGCACGTCGGGCCTGGCTGCATAGATGGCTGAGTGAAGGCAGAAGCCCGTGGCGTCCACTGGGAAGCAGCTGCTGCCCTTTTCCACCACCTCTCCCAGGATGTTCACCTTGATCTAGGAAGGGTGGAAGAAAGGCTTAGAACAAGAAGGCAGAAAAGGACCTTCATTCCTCTCCCAACAAAAATATAAGCCCAACATTTATTTCAGGAGCAATGGCTGGTCTCAGCCAATCCAGGGACAATGACTAGCCCTGCTCTTAGAGTATATATAGTCTTTACAGTGCAGTAGAGAAATTTGATAAAGCAGCCTTTCTTGGACGACTATGCATGGGAAATGACCTGAGGACCCTGTCAAAATACAGCTCTGACTCACAGGAGAGTCTATGTTTGTTTCCCAAGTGGTACCCATGCTGTGGCCCATAGATACTACTGTGAGTAGCAAGGAACTAGAAAGGGAGTCATTTATAGAAATCCCTAAAAGCAGCTAGGAAGAACTGGGGTTTGGCTTGTTTTGTTTTCCTTTTAGGGCATTTGGTTTGTTTTGAGGCTGGCCTCAAACTCATGATCCTCCTGCCTCTGCCTCTCAAATTCTGGGATAATATGTATATGCCAGTGTGCTCAGGTATGAGGAATCTTCAATTCCAGCAGAATAGGAGACTCAGATGCTTCTCCAGAAGAAGTCTGGTCTAAGCTGAGCCATTTCTTTTTTTTTTCAGCAAGGTTTTTAATCATCTTTAAAGAGAACAAGGGCTGGAAATATAGCTCAGACATAGAGCTCCAGCCTTGCAAGTGTAGTGCCCTGCATTTAAACCTCAGTTTTCTAACCCCCAAATAAGAGGTAAAGAGAACAGTATACTGAACACCCATTTACCACTCATCCAAAACCAGGTCTTAAAAGACAAAGAAAAAAAATTCACCAGTTGTATCATCTGCCTTGATGTCAAGTGGCCAAAACAAACCTCATGCTTATGTGTACATGCATGTATATGTACACACGCATAAGACAGAACAAGAGGAGAGGGGAGGTGGAAAGAAAGATAATAGTTGGTTATAATGTTCCCTACTTAATATAACCAATTTCACAGAACATTAACATCAGAGAAGGTCACTTTATGACTATAATACAAATGACCACTCCTTAATTGTGTTTAAGCCACAAAAACAACACTGTGCAAGTAGAAAGATGCCAATGCTCCCCTCTGCTGGCTTCCAGAGGAATTGCTATTTGCTAGCAAAGACAGCTAAAGCCTCACTCCACAGACCACCATCACCGCCACCACCATCCCTCTCTTAGATAGAACCTGGTATAACATCCATATAGCCAATCTTAGATCGTCATGTTATCTTCACAGCACATATTCAAGGGCCACACCCCATGAGAGACCCAGATCACCTAACATAGGCCCACAGGTTATGCTGCTGGCTAATCTATATACTACAGCTGTCTCTGAATAAGCTGGGTTACAGTTTCTAAAAACCACATAGCTTTGATCCTAAGAATGAATCACCTGATTTTATAAATCATCCTCATACCCATCCTAGAAAGTCCCACAGACCAGATAGGGACCAAAGGAAGGAGGAAGGATACATCAGGCCCCTGGTGTGAGGGAGGAACATGCTATTGGCATGAACTAAAGAAGTGAAAATAACATTCTCAAGAAGTCCTCTTAAGAATTTGGCATGAAGTCTAAAAAACAGGCATGACCTTGAAGTCATGTTCTGCTTTAAGACAGTCCTTTCACTCAGAAATCTTTCCTTATTGATATCACTTTCTGTGAATCTCTTCCCACCCTACTTAAGTGGAGTAGTCTGAGAGAGACCCAGAAGCAATCCCTAGCCTGGTGATAGACAAGTTTTGCACTGCGTTGGTTCTTGTTTTAATGGTGGCTCCCTATCTAGGACCCCCCTATTGCCAACTTGTGTGGTCCAATCCCAGACTTAGCCATCCTATGAGTCTTCCCAGAGAACTCCAGGCCTGTCTCTTCTTTTTTTCCTTCCTGCTGTGCTTGCTGCCTGCACCTGCTTAGTCTCTGTAACATTCCATGCAGTGTGCATACACATGTTCATGTGTCTTCTCTGCTCCACTAGGAACAGGACAATAGTAGCTAATTTGGAGATAGTCTGTCACTGTAAGAGCAGAGAGGGTGGGCAGTACTCACCAGGCTGGAGGCTGTGACTTCACTGCAGGAAACACCCTTAGGGCTGATTAGGAAGTGGTCCTGCTCCTTGCTGACTCTCAACTAGAAGAAAGACACACCTTCTCAGGGGCAAATAGGGGTAGGGGACATTTCTGAGGACAGTGTGTTTGGATTCTTTCTTCCCCTAAATACACTGTACCCATCTTCTCCCAAAGAACTCCTACCTGCCCCTAAGAGATAAAGGGACCTGGCCTTTATTTTGACTTGAGGAAATGCAGCTCCAAGAGAAATCTCACAATGTTTGAGAACAGCCCCTATATACAATGGCCAGGAATTCCTCATTCCCATCCAAAGAAATCCCTACCGCATAAGTTGTCTATTTTTGTGACTATAGTGACTAGAAATCTTGGAAAAGTTCGATGTAGTTTGATGACAGGCTACCAACAGGGCCCTAGCTATGCAAAGAGTCAAGAGTTCTATCTCTGGATTGTGTGGGGGCCACAAGCAGTGCCCCACTCTACTGCAAGGTGCTCTCCTCACCGTGACATAGGTATCGCTCAGCTGGGCCCAGCCATAGAGGTCCAAGAGCCGGTAAACACTGCTGATCTTGCACCGCATGAGCCTCTCTCCTTTGGCCAGATTCAGGGAGTCAGCAGTGTGGAGATCGTTGATGGGCGTCATCATGGAGAAGTCTGCAGGGACAGTAGCGGGAACAGTGCAGTGTTCTCATGGTCAGGAGAGTCCATCAGCTCCTCACCCCTTCCTGCCTATTCCTTGCTGTAGGCTTCTCCAAATTTCACTAGCATTACAACTGGCTAAGAACCATCCCTAGGCTGGAAGGTAAACATTCTTTATCCTTAACTCAGGGGGAAAATGGCCACACAATGGTTATTTGTGCCTAATAAAGTCTTCTGCATATTTGAGCAAACATGAAATTGCTTTTGATTGAAAAACAATATGCAAAACTCAAGGTCATAGACTAAAGCATGTCTGAGATGCCTCATGTCAGGGCAATACACCCAAAGGGCCTTTGTGAACCAAGATATGATACCCCTCCAGGACATGTGTCCATTAAACATTGTTGACAGGGAAAGCAACAGTCAAAAGGTCTAGTTAGACAAGAACAGCAATACAATTTCAAAGTCAATGATTTTTGAATACAAATTGAATAGCCTTGGATCCTTTCTTCTTCTGTGAATCTTAAAGAATTCTTGTATGTCTTGTCTCTTGACAGTTATGGCCAAATGCCATGTTCATGGCACAGATCTAACTGGGTCATTTATTCAAAGTATGTAAGAAGATATAGAGATGAAAATTCTCAATCCAATGAAAACTAATACTAAAAGACCCATGAATGAATGAATAAATGAATGAACGAATGAAAGAAGTGAGTTCTAAGGCGAATGAAGAGAGAACATCTATTTGGCATTTAACTCATGACACCTGAAACTTCCTTTCTACAAGCCCTTGCTTCTAAGATCCTAGCTACATACTCATCATGAGCTATAATAAATGCTTAGGCTCTAAATATTTCATCAAGATACATAAAGCAAAAATGATCACAAATACAAAATAATGAACAGATATCAAATACAACTTTCATTTGTGACAAGACAAAATGAAAATGGAAGTAGAGATTAAATGCTATGCTGTAGTGATTGCGTATGACTATATATCATTTAAATAATTAGACCACAAAAAACTCAATAAATCTCCAACACAGAAATTGAATATTAGGGCACATTTTCAAATACTTGGAAATTATAAAACATACTCCCTGATAGCCTTTAGAATAAAAATAAAATAGGCTGAGTGGAAAACTCAGTAGCAGAATATGTTCGTATGAGACCCTGGGCTTGATTCTAGTACCAAAGTATTTACTGCAAACTATGTAGAAAATAGCAACAAAGGAAATAAGATGGATCAAAGTTCATACGATGAAACCCAAAATCTCCCCCACCCAAATCCAGAGCCTTAAATGTTTATCATTAAACTTTAAAAAATCAATTCACTTTGTTTTATTCAATTCTGTAAAAACGAAAAGAACAAAATAATCAAAGAAATGTTACAGAAGAGAATAAATAGAGTTGGAGTGGGGTACCAGTAGCTTAGTCCTGTAATCATAGCCACTAGGGAGGCTGAACTCAGAAGGCCAAAAAGGTCGTGAGATCACATCTCAAAAGAAAAGGCTGGACTTGGTGGTGTGTACTTGCTATCCCCACTGCAGAGAGAAGTCTAAAATTATGAGGATTGAAGGCCAAGGTAGCCCAGGAAAGAAGGCAAACCCTATCTCAAAAATAACCAGGGCTGGGGGTAGGGGGAGGATGGGAAAGGATGGGAAGGGGAAACAAAGGAGGAGGCTACAATGCTTGATAAGAAATGTGCTCATTATCTTGCCCATGTAATTGTAACCCTGTAATTGTACAGTATTTTCACAATAAAAAAATAAAAAAAAATAACCATGGCTGGAAGTATAACTCAAGTGGTAGAGTACTGCTTGGCAAGCACAGAGCCCTGAGTTCAAACCTAAATACCACCAAGTAAACAATCAACGAAATAAATAAATTGGATGTGGTAGCACACATCTGTAATTCTAACACTTGGAAAGTTGAAGTTAGAAGGATCATGAGTTTGAGGCCAGTCTGAGTTACAGAGTTACTTGGAGACCAGCCTGGGCTATATAGTGTGACCTTGTCTCAAAAGCCAAAAACAACAACAACAACAAGAATATAAAGACAAAACTGATATATTAGAAATTAGGAGAAATGATAAGAACCATTAAGTAAATCCAAGAACTGGCATACGCAAGATCCATAAATAAACATCAGAACTAGTCAACAAAAATGTGGGAGTATACAGCAGCAGGGTGGAGATGGGACATCATCTCATTGACTCTGCAAGGTTTAATACAAAGACTAGATGAAGATTGTCCAAGAAGTGAACTGCTACACAATCATTTGCATGCAAATGGACACAAAAATACTCAGTAAGGGGCTGGGAAGGTGACTCAGTGGTAGAGTGCTTGCCTTGCATGCATGAGGCCCTGGGTTTGATTCTTCAGCGCCACATAAGCAGAAAAAGCCAGAAGTGGCACTGTGGCTCAAGTGGTAGAGTGCTAGCCTTGAGCTGAAGAGTTGAGGGACAGCGCCCAGGCCCAGAGTTTGGGTCCCACGACCAATCTCCTTCCCCCCAAAAAAAATCCTCAGTAAAATTCTAGCAAATCAAATCCAGAAGAGTATTTTTAGAAAAAAAATGCATGAAGATCAGGAGTTATTTATTTCAGAAATTTAAAACAGGAGTTCAATAGTCAGAGGTCTCTTACTGTAACTCATCCTGACAACTGTTCAAGGAAAGAAAAATCAATATGTGCCTGCAATGCATTTTATAAAGCTCAACTCCCATTTCTGAGAAAGACTCATTAATGAACCAGAATAAAGAGATATTTCCTCAACATGATAAAGAATAATTATCTCAAATTCAGTGGTAAGAGAATTTCCATTAGAGGCAAAAACAAGACGAGAATGATTATTCTCTAATCTATTATTAAACAGAGGTCTGAAAGTGCTACAGACATAATGTGAGAACTGGAAAAATACACCAAAGGCAAACGTCGAAATTACCAATAGCCATTTACAGATTATGTGATTTTCAATATGCAAAACCCAAGCTAATTTATATATCTCCAGAAGAAAATGAAACAGAAAGTACATACTAAGCTTTTTTTTTTGATAGATATAAAAGACAAAATTTTAAACATCCTATATGACTGGACAGATTTAATATTCATTCATAATAAATTTCTTTAACCACTTCCTATGTGCCAGTCACTACTCTCAGCTATAATATTCTAGAACCAAATATACTACAGCTTCCCTAGGAAGCTTATCTTCTAATATAAATTTATAAGTTCTCCACAAAGTCAATCTATTCATCCAATACAATGCCAACCAAAATCTCAAAGGGAGCCAAGTATGCTGGTGGCTCACATCTGTAATTCCAGCTATACAGGAGGCTGATATCTGAGGACTGAGGTTCAAAAACCAGCTTGGGTAAGAAAGTTTTATCTTCAATTAACCAGTAAAGATTCAAAAGTAGAGTTTGTTCAAGCAGTAGAGAGCCACCCTTGAACTAAAAAAGCTAAGGGACAGTATGTAGGCCCTGAGGTCAAGCCCTGGTAGTGGCAAATGCATGTGTGTTCCTGCACACCCACCCATGCACACATAATCCCAAAGGGGATATGTTAAAGTAGGTGGGGTTGGAGTTTGAAAAAAATCATTCTATAAAACAAATATAATTCTAAAATGTTTTCAAGAATAAACTTTAACAAACAAGAAAACTTTCCACTGGGTGATAAAATCTGGGGAAGGTACTTTTCAGCATGCGACTCAAAGCAGCACACACAAAGGAAAACAACAATCGATTCAAGTGTACAAAAAATTAAAGAGTTCTGAAAACAACAATAACAACAAAAACATCTCACTATGAACAAAGTTAAAAGGCAAAGGAGAAACCAGACAAATAATTGTAATACATTTGACATATAATAGGGAAATAGCATTCATTTATAAAGATTTGAAAAGTCTATGAGAAAGATAGATCAATAGGAAAATTGACAAAGACTATAAACAGGCAACTTATTACCAAAAAGAATATCATGCCCAATATGTCTCTAAAAATGTAAAAGAAATCCAACTGCATTAAATGCACATTAAGCCAAAATAAAGTATAAATTGTCATCTGTCAGATCAGGAGGCTAAAGCAAACGGTGATTGTACTAAGATAGAACAGAGGAAGAGGACCTCCATGGTATTACTGTTGGAAATGTAACTTGGTTTCCTTTTCTCTAGGATGAAGAAAAGATAAAATTTGCCAGCAGGCATGAATCTTTGAACATCTTTGATCTAGACATTTTACTTCTTGTCATTTATCTTTAAGGGAATAGTTTCAGATGCTTTCTTCACTGTTGTTCTTAATAGCAAAAAGGAAGTCCAATAATGGGAAATTGATTAAATGACATGCATCCACCAAAACTTACATTGTAGAACAACATTTTCTTATATGAAAAAAAATGGTTGGATGCTATTGAAATTATATATGTAATGTGATTTTTATGTTTGTTTTTATATTTATTTATTTTATATTCATGTTTATATTTCTATTTACATGTTTTTATATTTTTTGTATCACCTATCTATGTTAAGGAGAAAAAGTTGACAGAATATATACCAAATGATTAATAATAATTATTTCCCATGTTTGGGTACACAAGGTAGTGATTTTTGTTTGCCTTTCTAGACTATTTCCTAATTTTCAGCCATCATCCTGTATGAATCATATTGAAGTGGAACTTTTTTTAACATTTGTTTTTAAAGGCTGTGAGCAGAGCATCATAGCCTAGAAGCTCTATGCACAGCCCTGAATGCTCTTTGCATTCATTGATGACAACAGGTTCAGGTGCGCAGTGGGATATGGAGATAGCTTTCCATGGCCTCTTCTCATCTCCTGAAGTCACCTCTATCCTCCCATTTCTGGCATCACTGATAATTCTCCTACGGGTCTTTAATTCTCAGTAACATCAGAAGCAGAGCCAGGCACCTCCCTGGCTTCTGCTCAGCTCCCCCAGGCCTGCTAATGCAACTGTAGGCTTACACCGTTGCCTGGCAACCAAGCTGCTTCATGCTGCTGCTCTGGTTCCCTTTCCCACTCCATCCCTCCTCCTCTGGTCCTGGCAGCTCCCTTGGCACCCACTTACTCATGGAAGATGTTGGGAAGACTGTGTGGGAGGTGCTGGCCATGAAGTCTGCAATCTGCCGCAGGGCCCAGATGTTGGAGGAGTTGTTGCCCTTCTTCATTTGCTCCTGGATGAGGCCTTCCAGTTCCTCCCTGAAAGACTGAAGAAAGCCCCAAGAGACTAGTCCACCCAAAGCCTCTCTTAGAGGAAACGGGAGGTCACTTAGCTATAGTTGCTAAATAATGAGCTTTTCTACTCCTGGGCCACCTAGGACAGGGCCCTGCTTGGGAGCATCTAGGCCTCAGGGGCAAGTCCACTAAGGTTTCAGGGGCTTCTCCAGATGGCTGTCTGGGAGCACCAAGGACATACTAGGAATGACTCCCTTTTCCTTGTGGGATGGAATCCAGATTCCAGGTCCTTCCTGCATCTGTATTATGGCCAAGACTCATGTCCATCAGACAAGGCAGAACTTCACTATAGAAATTAAGAAAAAAAAATTTAAAAATAAGCAGAACTGAATTTGAAAAAGTGCCACCTTTCCCTTCCATGCTAGCACACTTATGGCTCTTCTGAGCATGTTTCCTCACGTGCTTAATGAAAGACTAAGAAGGATCGGATGACCTTTGAGGTCACTTCTACTCCTACTCTTCACCCCACCTCACTTTTCACCCCACCAGGCAGTAAAATTGGCATCTTGGCCACCAGGTGGCAGCAGGAAACACTTGAGAGGAAAGAAGCTGTTTAGGGTCTGAGATCCTATAAAGGACAAAAAGAACCCTTCTCCAGTCCCCACCCACCAGAGGCCCTGAAACCTGGCTGGTGCTAATGCAGCCAAGATCCTTGACACTCTTGGGATCTTCTCAGGGACTCCTCACCCACAATGCCTTTAGCACCTGGCAGTTTTCTCCAGGCCTCCTCCACAATGCCATCAAGACCCCATCCCATGTCTATTCTCTACCAGGTTTGCACAGGTATTCCTTTCACAAGCTATCCTGAACCTGTTCTGCTGAGGCAGAGCTAGGCCTAGCCTCCAGAGCCAATTCTGACAAGTAGGCAGGGGATGCCAGCTTTGTCTCTGGGCCTCCCAAGCCTAAAGACCACTTCCCCCCATTCCGCAGCCCCCACAGTCCCTTGTCTCCCTCCACTGGTCTGCCTGCCCATCCGAGGGTGGCAGCACCCTCTGCCAAAGCAGTACAGCAGGCCACACTGCCCTTTTCCAGGCCTCTAGGATGCGCTCTGAAGCCATGCCAGGCAGGCACCACCTGATCTCAAGTCTGGAGAACCCCAAATCTCGAGTTAACCTTCCTGCCTGGGTCCCTGTCCCATGGCCCCTGTGTCCTCTCCTTCTCACCCCTACATGGAGTCTTACTTTGTGGTGCTCAGTAAAGGGAACCCCCTGCTGGCTCCAGTTTACATGGATTCGCTTGTTCCTTGTTACAGGAGAGAAGACTGGAAACAGGCTCTGAAGGATACCAGAAACAGGAGCCGGTGTCCTGTTTTCCCACTTTCACAGCAAAACTGTTGATGGCTCTGGCCATCCACCAGGGACCAGGGAGGAATCAAACACCCACGTAGCCAGGTATTCTTGCTCAGCAGGCCTAAAATGCTACCAACCCTGAGCAAGGGAAGAGGAGTTACTGGTCTTTCAGGTTCCCTAGAGAGTCAGCCGGCCCCTCTCCCCGCCTCCTTCCCCGCCGCCTCCCTCCCTGCCCTCTCCACCGCCCACTCACTGGGCTCTGCAGGATCATGGTGACACGCTTCTTCTGTTCCATCAAGTTGAAGTCCTGCCGGAGGTCGGCCGCGCGGTTGCGAAGGCGCAGGTACTCAGGGTCGTCCTCAGAGAAGCGGTCAAAGTAGTGCTGCCCCTGGGTGGGAGGTGGCGGAGAAGTGGCCTCGGGGACTGTCTCGTCACTCATTTTCCTGCTGGGGATGCGATCTGCTCACCAAAGCCTGCAGCAGAAGGACAGGGCAAAGTACATGTTGGTTGCTCCCAGTTGGGCCACAGGCTTGGGGTCCAGCAGTATTCACAGTGGGCTGTGCCACTTCTCAGGAGGTATGAGCAAACCATGGTTAGAGCGCAGACACACAGTGGACAGGCAGGCTGGTCGGCAGGGGACAAGAAGGAAATCATCAGGTGCAGTAAAACTAAGGGCCACACTGGGGGTGAAGTAGGGCTCCTCAGTGGAAACATGGTGTGTAAAACTTTTTGAGCATTTTTGTGATGCCATACCTACCTAACCTGGGGTGGCTATTCACTGGGATTCATTTAAAATGGGGCTGGGGTGTGGCTCAGTGGTAGAGCATTTGTTTAGGATGCAGGAGTCCCTTGCTTCATATCTGGCATTACTAGTTAGCTAGATATAGATAGAACCCTTCTTTTAAAAAGTGTCCTCAAAAATGAAAGAAAACCTAACAGCTACTAAAGACCACTGCTACTAAATGTGGGAAACACTGCTTAGCATTTTCCTTTAGAACTTTGGTATTCCAAATGAAGAATCCAATTCTTCTTCCAAGTTAATAAAGAAGTATGGGCCGGGCACTGGTGGCTCACACCTATAATCCTAGCTACTCAGGAGGCTGAGATCTGAGGATCGTGGTTCAAAGCCAGCCTGGGCGGGAAAGTCTGTGAAACTCTTCTCTCCAATAAACCACCAGAAAACTAGAAGTGGTGCTGTGGCTCAAGTGCTAGAGCACTTGCCTTGAGCTGAAGAGCTTAGGGACAGCGCCCAGGCCCAGAGTTCAAGCCCTATGACTGACAAAAAAAAAAAAAAATATATATATATATATGGAATTTTTATTAAAGGAAAATGGATTCTCCTCTAGACAAAAAAATAACACGATTTGAGGAGAGTCATGTTTTCATGTTCTTTTTGTTGGTGGTGGTGGTTGTGGGGCTTGGATTCTGGGCCTGGGCGCTTTCCCTGTGGCAAGCGCTCTACCGCTTGAGCCACAGCACCACTTCTGGTTTTCTAGTGATATATTGGAGATTAGGGTCTCATGGAGTTTCCTGCCCGGGCTAGCTTTGAACCGTGATCCTCAGATCTCAACCTCCTGAGTAGTTAGCATTACAGGCATGAGCCACCTGCGCCTGGCATGTTGTCATGTTCTTGAGTTCCATACATTGAGCCTGACCCCCTGCAGTGAGGACCAGGGAAGTCTTGAGAGTCAAACTGGAGAAAAGCTTGATATATTTCTACTAAAGTTTGCTTTTAAAAAAATGTACAAGAGTAAAAAGGGAGAGAAAATCTTCTGTTGCCCTTCTGAGAAATGAGACTGCAGTTTTAGCCCTCACTTCCCAGCCACAGGACTTGGGATAAGCCCGTCTCCCTTCAAGTGTCATCTCTGCTTACCATTCTTCTAGCCCTTAAGTCTATGCCATGCCCCTCCACCACCCAGTGCCACAGAGAAAAGAGCAAAAGGCAGCATATACTTTGGCAACAATAATGAGGTTCTGAATGATCTGTGGAGATACAAATAGCATTAAATGGAATTAGAACTCTGGGTCTCATCTGTAACCTGCCTATCTCTTGCTTTTCTTCTTTCAAAAACATTCTTGGACTCACAGAATGTGAGAAGACTATGTGTGTTCTTGTACTCTGGGAATACATTCCTCCCAGTTCTGATGTGCACTTGACCTTCAGCTGACTCCTATCTCCTGCAGTCCTGTATGACCCAACTTCAACCCTTATTTCAGCCAGCAGCTCATACAAAGGAGGCCCTGCTGGTGGCCAGAAGGACTTCTTGTTGTTGAATATGAGCTGCCTGTGACTTCTTCTTCCATTTCTGTCAGGAGCCCACTCTCCACTCTTATAGTATCTTTCAGTGGGGTGGGTAGAGGATGGTGCTATGGAAAATCCAAAGAGGACAAATGAGTTTCTAATTGGGTTAGAATAGAAAACCAGAGAACTTGCCGTTGTTACTGCTGTTACTCCATGTTTCCTGTTAGGGAAAAATGACTAACAAGTTCAAGGGAAGGCATGTTGTCAGAGTCCGTCAAGGGTTGGTTGACAGCCTGAACCATTTTCCAGAACAGTAGATCTCAAGATTGGCTGCATACTGGAATTACCAGCAGACTTTAAAAACTAAGAATACCAGAGATTCTGATATAAGTCATCTGGTGTGTCCTGGACATTAGAATAAGGGGTTATGGGGTACTGGGATTTAAACAAAGGGTCTTGTAATTGCTAGGCAAGCACTCTATCATTTGAGCCATACTCACATCTTTTTTGCATTCTCCCTCCTTTTTTGTCCTGGTAGTGGGGCTTAAAATCAGCCTTGCATTCTTACTTAGCTTTTTTGCTCTACACTTGAGACATACCTCCACTTCTGAGTAATTGGAGATAAGAGTCTTTTCAGATTTTTTTTTCCTCTGGGCTGACTGCAAACCAGGACCCTTGGCTCTCAGCCTCCTTGAATAGCTAGGATTACAAACATGAGCCACTCGCACCTTTCTTTTTTTTTTTTTTTCTTACTTTTTGCCTGAACCAGCTATCTTCCTATTTATACTTCCTGCATAGGTGGGAAGTACAGCTCTTTATTTGTTGAGATGGAGTTTCACAAACTTTTTTTTGTCAGAGCTGGCCTGGAATAATAATTTTTATCTCAGCCTCTTGAGTAGTTAATATTGCAGGCATGAGCTGCCCCTGCTGACTTGGCCTCTGGATTTTTATAAGCTCCCTGGGTGATTCCAGTATGCAGTCAGTGTTGAAATATTATGGGCTACATGGTTGTAACGTAAAATAATGAAATGCCTACTCTAGGTGCTGGCTATTTCTAGCAAGCCTGACAAAGATGGCCCAAAGTCTCATGTCTCCAAAGTATACCATACGACACTTGTCCCAGACCTGCCCAGAGTCGAACTGCCACCAAACATGGTATACTTGGTCTGAGATGGCAGCCATGTTCCATATACCACACTGGCCTACTTCTTCAAGGCCACCAAACTGTGACCTCTGATCTTAGTTCTTTAACCTGTCATTTTCTGAAAAACCTTACCAGATTGTTCCTAAAACAACAACCACCCCCCTTACCAGTTGTGTTGATATTTGGTAATAAGAGTTGGGAAGGACAAACTAGGATAAAGAAAAGAACTGCTGGGAGCAGTTCTCTGTACAAAGATATTGAAATGGATTTGGCAGGTTGGTAGGGCAATTTCAGGTTGTAGTTAGTAACATTTATATCCAGGCCTTTCATCTAAAAATGGAGAGAGGGTGATTGAGTTGTCAGTAATATTTCTTTGTTCAGGGGTAGATTTGCTCTGGCCCAGAAATCAAATGGCTGCAATCTTGCCACTTTCATCACTCCACAGCTGCATGGGCATGGAGAGGTCATTTCCCCTCTCTGGTCTTACCTTATCCTTCTAAAGGAGGGAGTGAACAGAATGACCTCTGGGACTCCCTTCCAGCTCTGACACTATAGGGTGTGTCGGAATTGGAGACAGATATATCTGTTCAGAAAAGGCAAAAGTTTGGAGGATCTAGGGATCCAGACTGAGGGACCTCCTTGCTTCCTTCATGGCCTGTCCCTCAAGCCTGATGCCCAGGTAAATATGTGTAAAGACCACACATGTGCAACTGACAGTGGCCCTGTGGGAGCAGGTTGATCCTACGTATGTAGGGTTAGTTAAAATAACTTCACCTCCATTGTGCTCCTATCCAACCTCATCCCTGGACCTTGGGGGCAAGAAGGGACTACAAGGTCGAATCCAATGGTATTGCATTGGAGCTGTGCCTTCATGTGGTCACCACCACGCTCTCCTGGGCAGACAACACGCAGACACAAATTCTTCTTCGGATATTGCCCTCATTCAACCCCACCAATGCTTGGCTTAGTGACTCATTGAGGCAAATGATTGTCTTTGGCACTTTCAAAGACCTGAATTTTGGGTGTTATTTTTGAAACAGCAACAAGCAATTCCCAGTGGGCACTTTTGATGTGAGCATTAGATGTAAGCTCCCTGTGTTCCCTAGGACTTCAGGCCACCAACTCCAGAACAACCCAGACTCTTAGGTTCTCTAATATTGGGCTTGTCTGGGCTAGCATAGTCTCATTTCTAGCCTCAATCCTATCCATCCAGGCAAGATGTTGGGTTCTCTCTTCTTCTTTGTGGAGTGGTTGCACTGCTCAAGAACAGGTTTGGGAAGGCTGGAAAGCAACTCACCCCTCCAAAGAAACAAGATGTTCAAGGCCACACTACCATGTCCATAGACACCTTCCCTTCTTAAAGCTCAGCCCATAGGGCTGTTCCACAGGCACTCCATGGGAGGGGCCCATGTGTAGATGCCCTGATTCCATCACCATGACAACAGGACTTGGTTAGATCCTGTAACTTTATGAACCAAAAAAATCTTTGTGTTGCTTCTCCTTTCCCTTCCTGAAATAAATGGGTTCAAATATCAGTTGTGCCACTATTAGATGGGTGATCTTGGACCAACTAATATAACTGCTCTGTACCATTTTCTCCATATATAAAACAGAGATTGTACTCATTCGCCTCAAAAGGAGGCTGTAAGGAGGATCAGACTTTATGAATCTTAAGTACTTAAGTACAGGGCCTGTGATACATAAAAGGTGCTATTAACCCTTTGCTCTTATTAGGTGTCATTTAGGAGCTACAATCATCTTAGCATTAAGAATTTGAGTAATGAGAGGCTTGTGAATGAGCTGTAAACAGATACACACTAAATAACAGAAACTACTGGCTTTAGACTCATCCTGTCTTCAGCTATATTAACAAAAAGAGGAACCTCCAGAAAAAGATTGATGAGAATGCCAAGTTTTCTGATCAGGTAATGGGAACACAACAGCCTGGTCCAAAAGAGACCAATGATTGTTAGGCCAGGTGTGGTAAAAGAAAGAGAATACCTGACCTTTGTTTTCAGTTCCTGTCATAGAACTTCAAAAATCCTTAGAGTTTTTTTTCTTCTAATGTACACAAGACAGTAGAAATATCTTTTATTGTTCATACTGAGCGCCTTTCAAGGAGACCTGAGTTTCCTACAGTGATTCATGTGGCTGCTGGCCAAGCACATGACTAGAAAGTTGGAACTTCAGCTCCACCCCACACACACTTCACAAATTGAGTTCAACCAGAGAGAAAATGATTTAATCAACCATGTCTCTCTATTAAAGCCTCCTGATTTAAAAAAGTAAAAGCCTACGCACTGAGCTTTGAGAAGCGTCTTGATCGTTACAGCCATTGAGAGAGTGCCAGGCAGTGGTGGCTCAAGCCTGTAATCTTAGCTACTCAGGATGCTGAGAGCTGAGGATTGCAGTTTGAAGCCAGCCCAGGTAGGAAAGTCTCTGTGAGACTCTTATCTCCAATTAGCCACTTAAAAACTGGAAGTGGCACTGTGGTTCAAGTGGTAGAACACTATCCTTAAGCACAAAGAAGCTCATGGACAGCACCTAGGGCAAGCCCCACAACTGACCAAAAAAAAAAGAAGATTACAAAGCTCTGTATGTCCCTATCCCTGCCCAGACCCTGTTCCATGTCTTCATTTGGCTCTCTCTGACTTCCATCTTCTATAATAAAACTATTTAAGTACAGTACTTTTTATGAGTCATTCTAATGAACTTCTGAACCTAAAGAGGGGCTATAGGGACCTTTCCCAACCACTCTGCAAACCTATAGCTAAGGCAGACAGAAGTGCAGGTGGCCTAAGGATCTAAATTGTGACTGATGTCTGAAGTACGAACAGTTTTGTTGACAACCTTAACTTTATTTTTTGGTAGCTACTTTGTGGGTCCTTTAACTTGGGCATACAATTCTTCAACTGAATGAACTATAGAACAACCAGTGGGTGACACAGAATTAGTGACATCACACCAGGCCACTTCTATTCATGATTTATTTCTATATTCAGAAGCACTCTATGAGAAAGATAATATTGTCCCAGCTTCAGGTAAAGAAACCAATTTAAAGAGCTTAACTAACTTGTCCAAGATAGCACAGGCAATAGTGAATTCATCCAAAGTGGTGTCTGACTCCTGGTCCTTACTTCACTCCAGCATACCATCTCTGAACACCTGCTAGGCCATCTAGTGGAAGTGATTAGGCTGATACCCTGAAGTCTAGAGAACTGGAACTAGAAAGCCAGGTGATGGCTGCAGACAGGCAGACTACTGCCAGTGATGGAGAATTTCCTACCCGCAGGAACAGCTCAGGAATGGGAGGACAGGACAGCTGCTTGTAAGGTAGTGAGCTTTCTCCTGCAGGCAGTGCCCACCAGAGGCCCATGCTCTTGCTGGGGATGGAACAGAACTAAGTGGTAGGGCCTAGTGACTTCCCTGGCTCTCATGTCAGCAGGATAGCGGGAGTGTGGAGCAATGACCTGAGTCTCTGAAAGCTCACCTTCACTCAATGGACCCAACTCCATAGTATGTATCACCTCCAAAAGCCATGACTACTTACCAGGTGGCTGGCCCAGACCTGTCCAAGATTCTGAACCCTCAGTGCTGCGTCTACACACCCTGCTCGTCGCTCAGGACTGACAGCCACATCTACACAACATCACACGTTCAGGTAGAAACTGGAAAATACAAACAGCAAACATCAGGACTTTTTTGTCTTGGCTTTTCATCTAATTTCTTTTATGGATTTCTAGGAGATGCTTAAAAATGAACTGCAAATGAATTTTTATTTTAACGATAAATGATGTCCATTAAAAAAAGGGTAAAGTCACCCTTGTTATCTTTATAGTTTGGACCAATATTCCTTTTCCATCCCTTTGCTGAATGCTGGCTGCAGAGGCCTAAGATGAAAGACAGTGCTCTGTATGGTGGAGGGATCTGAATGAGGAAGTCCTGCAAGAGACCAAGGGAGGAAGGCTAGTGTTGACAAGTTGCTGGGCCAAGAGGTGAGACCTCTTCCTGATAGTTGGGTTCCTGAATTGGTCTGGAACCTCAATTGCATAAATAAAGGAGCCTCTAGGAATAGTTACATTCCTTTCCTTTCTACATGAGATGCCTATAGTGTGAGTTGGGGATCTGAATGCTAGGGTAAAGGGATGGCTAATTGTACTAAAGCATAGGTACCTGTCTGGGAGAGTCTTGAGTAAGGGTTCTCCCCAGTACTACCACCCATCAGCCCTACCAACCCAGAAACACATCACTAACCATCACTAAACTAACAGAGCTGTCAGTGACTCTGAGATTCATCCCATGAGGTAGAAAGCACCTAAAATATATCATTTCCAGGAAATGGGAAAGCCTAAGATTTAACATAGGTCATGAATTGATGGATTCAAAACAATTCCACCTATAGTTCAAGCAGAAGAAAGCCCCCCCTCGTTAACACCTAGTTCATAGATCATAAAATACTCCTAAAGGAAGATGTTAACATCTTACAAACATAGGGATGTTGCTATTTTCAAGTTTACTGGGAACCAAGTTCTTCAAAAGATTAATCAGGAAAAATTTTCTTTTTCAAGGGATAACTTTTATTTTCACTAGAGAGCCCTATGGTTCAGCCTCACAGATGCTGGGGTACCTCACTTCGGGCTTGCAGCACCCCTAACGGTCCCCCAAATGTGCCCCTGCCTGTAGCTCTGGCTCAGCTCTGCTCCATCCCTGACCTGACGCTATTCCTAGTAGAGTCATGAGGGAGCTTGTCTCACTAACAAGGAGCAAGGAGAATGGAATTGGTGAGTACAAGGTGCCTGTCCAGGTCCTGCAGCTGCGTACAGATATTCAGTGCACTAGTAATTATTTCTAAGAACTAGGCTCAGCATGCAGCATATCTAGTACTACATGCCCAGCCAGTGGTTTAAATTTTGGCTAGAATAGCTATCCCTTGATGCTATATCTGTCTAGTACTCACCAGCATGGGAGTCCTCCCTTCCAAGTGGGGTTGCTTATATCCCCATAAACACACTACTCTCCCTGAAGACCAGTCCTGCAGCCAGGTGAGTTATTTCAGTTCAAGCACAGCTTCCTCCTCTCATCTGATCTAAGACTGTCCATGTCATAAGCAGCTAAGGCTGGAATGGTTAGAACCTGAGCAATTTCGTGTGTGTGTGTGTGTGTGTGTGTGTGTGTGTGTGTGTGTGTGTGTATATGTGTGTGTCTTGTTTTTTGATCTTTACTGTAAATAGTGCTCTTTAAAGCTTACTGTACAGTAAGCTTACATGAGCGAGGGTAATGACTTCATTTCTTTCTTTCTTTTTCTTTTTGGTTGGTTGTGGGGTTTGAACTCTGGGTTTGGGTGCTGGCCCTCAGCTCTACAGCTCAAGGCAAGCGCTCTATGGCTTGAGCCACAGTGCCACTTCCCTGAGCAATTTCTTTTGTTTTGTTTTTTTGTTTTGTTTTGTTTTTGTTTTTGTCAGTCGTGGGGCTTGACCTCTGGGCCTGGGCTCTGTCCCTCATCTCTTCAGCTCAAAGTGAGCGCTCTACCACTTGAGCTACAGCGCCACTTCCTGAGCAATTTCTTTTTTTTTTTCTTTTTTTGGTCGGTCGTGGGGCTTGAACTCTGGGCCTGGGCGCTGTCCCTCAGCTCTTCAGCTCAAGGCGAGTGCTCTACCACTTGAGCTACAGCGCCACTTCCGGTTTTCTGGTGGTTTATTGGAGATAGGAGTCTCACGGTCTCTCCTGCCCGGGCTGGCTTTGAACTGCGATCCTCAGATCTCAGCCTCCTGAGTAGCTAGGATTACAAGCGTGAGCCACCAGCGCCCGGCTTTCCTGAGCAATTTCTTATGTGCAATAATGCAATATTTTGTCCCCAGAAGGAACATGTGCTACTCCTATAAGAGGACAGACATCTTCAAAGCCAGACGAGGAAGGAATGTCTGTGAGACTCTTACCTCCAATAAACTAAGAAAAACTGGAAGTGGCTCTGTGGCTGAAGTGGTAGAGTGCTAGCCTTGAGCTCAAAGAGACTCAAGGACAGTGCCCAGGCCCTGAATTCAAGCCCCAGGACCAGAACAATAGATAAATAAATAAATGAAGGAAGACATCTGTCCCTTGGTGAACAAAATAAAGCACTGAAAAAAATAATTCCTATACCATTCTCTATCAGTATTGAGATTCCACCATAAGAGCTCCAAGAATAAGGCTGCTATTCTGGGGGCCTCTGATGACTCTGCCTAGGAGAACTCTGATTCTGCAGCAGAATCAAGCCCAGTGTTACTGCCCATCAGCTTGAGATTTCCCAGCACATACTCTGCTCACCTCAGCTTCTAGCCATCCATAGCTCTGAGCAGAGCTGAGAAGCAAGGCGCAATATGAGGCATGCATGATGCCCAAGTAGGAAGAACAGGCACCTGATACCCTCCTACTTAGGAGGTAGCAATTAGGAAGATCATAATCAAAGGCCAGCCCAGAGAAAATTGTCCAGGAGACTCCCTCTCAATCAATAAAACTTGGTTCTATCTAGCATGCATCTGTCATCCCAGCTACACAGAAGGCATAAATAGAAGAATCACAGTCCAGGCTGGCCTGGACATAAATCCTCTGATACCCTACTTGAAAGAGCCAGAACTATAGCTCAAGTGGTAGAACAACTGCCTCGTAAGTGTAAGGCTCTGAGTTCAAATCCCATCAAATAAAAAAAGGCTCAAGGACTTAAAAGGCAGCCTTGACTCTTCTCAATTTTTGCCCTGTGCATCTAGCTGGTCACCAAGATTTCTGGTTTTATGTCCAAAATTTTTGTTTATCCGGGACCCTGAATTATGACTTCATCTATCCTCCTCTCCTTTGATGATCTCTCCTTCTTTGTCATCCTTTCTCCCACACACTATCCACAGTTTCCAGAGTCACTTTCAGAAAGAACAAGTACAGAGGTTCCTTCCTTGTACCATTTTATTAAATTCCTGCTCTCCCACAAGACTTTTTGTCAGGTATGCTTTTGCCTTTTCCAAATGTAAATTCTGAATTCTGAATTTCTGTTTTCAACCCAAATGCATATTTCATGGTAAAAATTCAAACTCATCACCCCCCAGTTGAGGGGACTGCTCTCTCTGCTCGCTCCCTTCTCTTTGAGACTGGCCACTTGTAGGATGATGGCCTACTGGCCTACCTTTTACTGCCACTCTGCCCTCTCCACCTGTCATGCTCTGGGGCTACCTGCAGGACCTGAAGGTGCCACATAGATTCCCTGTGGGCACTGGTATCCACCAGGAACACCTTTTCCTCCTTCAGCCCAGGCGTTCTATCTCCTAAGAGACTGTCCTCACAGTCCCCTCCTTCAAGCAGTCACATCTTTGGCTCACCTCTTTCATTCCACATGCAATCTGACAGAAGCACTGGAGTCCATACCTTAGAGGACATGAACACACAGACACACAGACACATGGACACACAGACACACACAGACACACACACACACACACACACACACACACACACACACACACACACACAGTTGCTGGATCCAAGGTTAGGTTGGTGTTGAGAGGGTGCTAACTGAACTCCATCAATGTAACTAAGAGTGCACTAGGAAATTAGATCTGGTCAGTCCAACAAAATGGGCCTGAGGTCCACCCAGGCTCTGGGTTCCTAAAGAGGAGGAAGGCCTGGGTGAGTTTACAGAACCCCAAGCAGCCCAAGATGCTAGGTGGTGGCATGTGTGCAGGTGACCTGGTGTATATGTCATAGCTTACTAAACTTGGTGCCTTTAGGCCCTCCAGCCACTCTTCTACCTTGAAACACAACCCTGACATCTGACCATACCTAATTAGTTCAACTCCACAATGGAACACTGAACATAGGAAGACAAAGTAATAGGTAACATAACCTACCCCATAGCAGGCTCTACAACCCTCTGGGCTCTTCAAATGCCCACCTGACCCTCTTCTGTCTCCCCCTCTTCTCCCATCCAGGACCTACCACTCTGCTCAGAGGGCCCCAGAACTCCATTCTGAACACTCGTCACCAATCTAAACACTTACTCATACCTCTTTCTCTCCTCAGCAAAGACCCTGCTTGGCATGCATCCTGGGGCTGTAAGTCATGAACACACACCCTGTCAAGGAGCAATTTCTTCCCTGTACATATGCCCACTGGAGTATGAAATCATATTTTAACAGATTGTTCCTTGTTGCCGTAGAAAGAACAGAAGGTCAACAAGGAGAATAACAGATGCCCAAGTTACCTGGCCTTTTCCTAAAATCTGCTTAAGCTCTGCGTACCCAAGGAGGGGTAGGTGATTATCAACCTGTGACTTCAGTCTCCAGACCTGAACGTGGCACCTACAGCCCCAAAGGAAAGATGCCACAGACTGCCATTTCCCAGCTGCCCACCACTGCCATAGGCACAACGACCACTCTGTGCTGCCAGCCTGTCAGCCTTGCCCTGCCCCCTCCCAGGTCAGCCCTGGGTGAGGAAACACAGTGCTGCTGCAAGCCAAGGGCCTGGAGTCAAAACTCAAACTCACCGATCCTTGACTATGACACTAGAGTCACTCATGGCCATGCTGCTGCTGCTGTTTTACAAAATACATGGAGACAGTTGAATAAGGGGCTGGCCACACCCAGTCTGGTGTGTCCAGATAAAGAGGGCCCTCACACCTCCGCTTATCATCATGTCTTCACATGTTTTTGAATTCTTCAGATGTTCACTGTTGTGATCACTTAGGACAAAAGTAGTTTCAAAGAAAAGGAAGAAAGAGAGAGGTGGTAAAGTCTGTCTCTGTTCATCTCTGGAAATCCCATTAGCTGGCTGGTGTGGGCTCCTGGAGGACTGACTTATGGGCATTTCTGGTGCATTGGTAAATAATTTTTTCCTTCTCTTACTCCTTAGAACTTGTATGTTATGGGCTGGATCAGATCCAGCTGTGCTTCCTAACTGCAGACTGGGAACTGGTTCCATTCCACTCATTGGACAGCACAGGCATTACCTAGTATCTACTAGTACTCAGGAGTGATTCAGAACTAGAACTGGACATGAGAGGGAAGACATCTGAGGCTCTGGGAAACTGAGTAACTGAATTTGGGTCACAGAGCTGGTTAAGGGCAGGGCCTGGGTTTGGTTCCAGAGCTTGTTCTCACTAGTTTTTCCATCTTCCTTCAAGGGAAGGCAAGTGGAAGCCAGGGGGCTGACGGAAGAGTGGGGAATGGAAATCAATAACGGCTACCACCCAAATCCCAGGTTTAATCCCTGGGTAGATGCCCTGGGGATTTGGTTCTGCTCTTGTCTTGGCAAAAAGTCTCAGAGCTGAGCTTGTCCCCCAACCAAAAAACAAACAAAGATTAAGAGTCAGGCATGGCGGCTCCTCTGGTACTCACTCTGACAAGGTGGGCCATGCTTTTGGATGAGGAGGAAGAGGCGGGCCCTCCACAGGTGGGTTGTAATGGTGTCAGATGGCCACAGATCACCTGCCTGTGATTCCATGGCTGCTAAGTGAGATGCAAGGTGAGATCTCACTTCTAAGCATTGCTTCATCTGGATTCAAAGACAGTTCTTTCTTTAAATATCTGCTCCAAGCCAGTACTGTCTCACTACTGGGATCCAAGGGTGTAATTCCTAAACCTAGCTCTCAAAGGCCCACAGTGGAGATTGGGACTTTTGGGCAGATAGTTATAAAATTTGATGTGGGGAGGGGTAGACAGTGCTCCAATAAAGGCTCAGGAAGGTTCCAGGTAGTTTCCAACCTAGGGGCTCTAGTGTTGGATTTTAACCCAGGTGGCTCAAAACCAAATTGTCAGGGCTGGGAAGGGGGCTCAGTGGTAGAGCGTTTGCCTTGCATTCATGCGGCCCTGGGTTCGATTCCTCAGCACCACATAAGCAGAAAAAGTTGGAAGTAGCACTGTGGCTCAAGTGGTAGAGTACTAGCCTTAAGTTGAAGAGCTGAGGGACAGCGCCCAGGCCCAGAGTTCAGGCCCCACAACCGACAAAACAGAAACAAAAACAAAACAAAAACCAACCAAATTGTCCTCATATCTTCATGAAGGGAAAAGAGGGGGCATTCAGAATGCCCCAGGGATACAGAGGCATCACTGAACAAGCAGGATAGCTGGGCTCACCCTTCTTAAACACAGTCCCTCCAGTAGAAAAGGTCAGCTGACCTTGGAGACCACACAGATAAAAGTTCTGCAAAAGGCTAATTGAGCTGACCGTCCTCTGAAGCATGTTCTCCACTTCTAGATGTCTGCAAATCTAGTCCCAGATCCTTTTCAGCAGTCACCTGTTGCCTCTATGTGAAACTGTAACTAAACTCAGTCAAGCTATATGTTGAAAAGTTTGAACTCAATCAAGAATAAACATAAAACAAGGATTCTTCTATTTGGCTCAATCTGAGAATATTTGTTCAGTAAGAAAGAAAGATGTGCATCGCACTGAATCATGCGGCAAGGCAGTCCTCACGCCCTTCCATCCCCTTCTTCCCCCCACTCACAACCAAGAAATTAAAAAGCAGCTCTTGGACAATATGTTCCCCATATCTAATGTTATAAACTATATCCTAGCTCAGCAGAAATGGACCTAGATGCTCTTTTAGCACAGTAAGTACAAAGTTGCTTGTTGGTTTCATTTTATTTGGATTTAGGAGTATTTTGTTTTACTAATTGGACACATAAGAAAATAAGACACGTGGCATCTAGGATAGGAGGATATTCTGACTCCATCCTCTCCTCGCTCCCTTGGAGAAGTCTGAAAAGTCATAACTCCAGGGTGATTTGCAATTTGCTGTTTGTGTGGTGGTGGTGGTAGGAGCCGGGGGGGGGGGGGGGGGAGGAGGGGGGGGTTGAGGAAGGAAGCAAGGAGGGGGACAGGTGCTAGACCCAGGAAATGAAGATGGTGGGAAGCAGGCCTGCTAACTGTCTTGGGTGGGAGGTTCTGAGGGCTCTCATGGGAACTGCTGAGCTGCAGATACCCTTGTGGAGACATCACAGGATGTCAGGAATGAGATGGAGAAAATCCGGTACATGTTGTTGACTTTCCACAGCTCTCCCTGATAAATCTGTAGGGTTTACATTATTTTACTGTGAGAATGTTGGGAGTGGGGAGAGCTATTCCTACCAATGTATATTTTTGAGTATTTGCATGTCGGTGTCAAAGACAGCGCCATGTGTTCCCCAAAACACTCTTCCTCTTACTTAGTCATCTACAGTCCCTAGCCCCTGTTCTCTCTGGACAGGAGCATATGGAATGTAAGCCATGGAACAGTAGAAGTGATGAGCTTCACCTGATCCAGTTTGGATCTGTTATGTCTCCCAAAGGCCCAAGTATTAAAGGTTTGGGAGAACCTTTAAATATCCAGGACTAATTGGAGGTTTTTGAACACTTGGGGATATCCCCTCAAGAGCGAAGGTAGAACCTCCACACTCTCTTCCTCTCTTCTGCACCTAGCCATGAAGTGAATGATCTTCCCCCACCCATCATGTACCCCTACCATGATACTGTGTGGCCATAGGGACCAGAGCAATGGGGTCAACTGGTCACAGATAAAACCTCAATAACTTTCCCTATTTCTCAGATGATTTCTCTAGAGTAGTTGTGACAGTAACAGAAAGCGGACTAGCAATAAGATTAAAGGTACTGTCTTCACACTTTCTCAGGCCTTGGCTCCTGTAGATGTAGAGGCTCCTGTAGATGCTCCCCGGCCTGAGAGATGATGTAGCCACCAAATATAAGAAAGCCCACTGAGCATTGCTGTTTCTAAGGTGGCTGTTACGGCACATAGTTTACAATCACACCTTCACTTTAGCTAGAGATAGCTTACTATTAACTGTATAGTTATTGCTTCCATTCCATTTATTCCACTGTCTTATTCAGGATCACCAATTATCCATGCATTGAATCTCTGACTGATTACTTTTTTTCTCACTAGTTTCATTGTTGACATTTTCCCTTCCTTATATGCTAAACAATTTGATGTTGTTAGATTTCATATCAATGATTTTTTTTCCAGACAGTCTCCCTCAAACTCATGATCCTTTTGCCTCTGCCTCATAAATACTAGGATTCAATTGTTGTAATTCAGCAAAATTGCAGTAAATTTTAATTCTTTTGATGGGGCACCACTGGGATTTGAACTCATGGCTTTGTGCTTGCTAGGCACATATTTTACTGCTTCCAGCCATGTTTCCAGCCTTAATTATTATATTCAACATTTTGTTTTTTTAATATTTCCCCTAATCTCTAATTTTGTTTCAGGCCTTTTTGTTTATTTTCTCCTTACAACTATTCCCTTCCATTTTTCAGAAACTATGTCTTCTTACACTATATAAAGACTATCAAATAGTTTCTGACATTTTTATTCTGGTTGTTTTAGCAGATTATTATCAGAGATAAATGATTCTTTTGAGTCTTCCAGACTTACTTTCCTCTAAAAAATTTTTTTCAAGATGCTTCTATTTTCTTTTAGTTTTATTCTCAGATTAGTTGAAATCAGGTCCCATAAGATATGACATTCAAAAAAATATAACCTTCAGGGAAAAATGGCTTGTAGCAAAAGATGATCAGGAAACTATGTGTTTTTCAGAAATCTAGTGTGATGTTTTATGCAATTTTGGCACCAACATGGCCCTAGCAATTGCCCTAGTGAACAGTCAGACATGAAAGGACAACTACCAAGAAAGCCAGATTAATCTTACAGTCAGGTAACAAAATTAGTATTTCTTCCACAGGAGACTTAATAAAGTTCAACCAAATTCATTCTAGGTGGTAGAGTGATTAGGCTATTTTAACATCAGATCCAAGGAAATAATAACCACAAACCTTAACAAATGACCTTCCATTTCACAACTTCCTGAGATGCCACAAACTATTGGTAAGACATAAGGAAGGAATGAAAGATAAACCTCGTAACAATTTGGGACTTTCAGATACTGGTGACTTGATCATGTGGAACTGAGTCAGTGAACACAAAGAAGACATTTGATAGTGAGGGATAAAAAAATAAACACTGGCCAGGCGCTGGTGGCTCATGCCTGTAATCCTAGCTACAAGAGAGATCTGAGGATTGCAGTTTGAAGCCAGCCTATGCAAGAAAGTCTACCGGACTCTTATCACCAATAAACTACTCACAAAAAGCCAGAAGTAGCACTGTGGCTCAAGTGGTAGAGCGCTAGCCTTGAGCCAAAGAAGCTCAAAGATAGCAACTAGGCCTAGAGTTCAAGCTCCAGGACTATCAACAAATACATAAACAAATGCTGGCACTACCATGTTTTTTTAAAATCTAAGATATAAATGGATTGATATACCATTATCTTAAATTGCTAAGAAAGAAAAAATGCTGCCAGTTATATCACTATGATCAGAGGACATATTCTAGTTTGGGAGATTTTATTTAATGTAGGGAACATGTGTCTTATAAATGATGAAGTGTAGGAACCCAAGTTAGATGTTAGTGTTATCTTCAGGTCATCTTCAAGGTCAGGAAGCCAAAAGATGACTCAAGAGAAACAGACCATGAAGAATTTAGGAGAGCTTCTCAACAGCCTATTGGCAGACATGGTTTGTTACCTGTCTATCTGCC